GACTCCGCGCTTTAGCATGATCGCCTCTTTTATCGCACCACGTTACAGTTTAAAGACCGGTTACACTCCTCATTTCACTAAACATCTCCCCAAGTTTTGGCGAAGTTTATAATTTAATTCCTGGATAACTGTTCCCTAGCAACCATAATGTAAACAAGGGCAAAAACGTGTCTAAATTGGACAATAGTGATGATTAGACTTATAAAAACACACAACAACACCTTTATTTTATTAAATTATTGTTAAAACTGCGAGAAAAATGCCTTCCTTGCACTTTAATTGTCTGCATTTTGGATGGAGTTTTCCGTGTTGATGACATAGAGGTTTTCTGTTTTAGAACTCAGCGCTACTTCCTCTATTTTTGTACGTTTCTTCTGACCTTTTTTCCCCACAAACTGCCTTTTAACTGATGTAAAACTAAACTAAAGCTAAACACTGACTACAGGCACTATCCACTATCCACTATCCACCAAACGCAAGTCAGAAGTAGAAAAAAAAAAAGCGAAAACCTGTGAAAAGCACTTTGAACACCAGATGTTTTTGAAGCGCGCTGACATGTGATCTCTGCGTTTCGACTGGAGAAATAAGACGTTGCAAAACACCCTTATCCTGCCCCACACACACACCCCTCCCTCCCTCCTCTCGCCCTCCCTCTGTACGAAAACTGGCGCCTTTCTTTTCCCCGAACTGTCCAAGAGTTCTCAAGTGTCACTGTAACCTTTAAGTCCCGCTCGCTAAATCTGAAACTACATTAGAGCTGCAGTAAATTTATCTGATTCAACTTCTGGAATCTACTTTACTTTACTTACAATTCACAAAATTTACATCAGTCTTCATGAAAATACATTCCATTCTAGTAAAAGAACAGTTAATAAATCAAAATGGCACTAGAAGAATATATATTTTTTTATATTAATGGACAAAATTCAATAAAGGATCTCTAAGCAAAACCATAGATCCGACCATTAACCTGTCTACATTAAGGGGCAGAGGCGGCGCTACCATTAGGCAAAACTAGGCGGCCGCTTGGGGCCCCCGAACCTGGAGGGGCCCCCAACCAGTTTCCCTCAGTGCCACTAACGTCCGAGGCCTCAGAGCAGTTTGATTTTCTCTCAATCTGATTTTAAATTGGAGTAGTTTTACTTTTAAACAAGAAAACACCATCGAAATAGTATCCGATTTTCAAATCTATTTTAACTGTCAAAGCCTCCCCCCTTTTCACATTAGAATGGAATAATCATAGCAGAATAAAAATTATATGTAATTGATGTAAACAAAAATGTAATTGTACTAGCAAAAAATAAAACTACTTTCAGCTCTGGTTTTCTAGTAGGCGACCGAACTAATAAGACAAGTTTCCAATCCACCGTAATTCAAATAAAGATGTGCAAGTCTCATGAACAATGGGAAAAACTGACAATACATATTAAAGAAATAAAAAAAACAAAAAACAAAAAAACAACAGTGCATTATAGTGAGGGCCCCAAACTCAAGTTCACCTAGAGCCCCCAAATGACTACCTCTGCCACTCATTAGGGGTGTGCAAAAATATCAGAATATCGACATCGTATCGTTTAATGTGGGTTGCTGTGTCGATATATCGCCAAGAATATTTTTGGTATTTTTTACTAAATTATTTTGTTACAGCTACAGTTTTGTTGCTTGTTCAGAGGAAGGCAACTCCTTAATGTGACACATTTGACATTTTGATGATTAAAATGTTTGTGTTTCATATTCATTTTGCGCAAGAAGTGGTTTAACAAAGACTTTTAGTATCACATCCATCGTTTAGTAATTATTTTTTTATTGAACCGTGTCAAATCGATTTGAAATATATCGTATCGAACCAAAAGTGCACTGTATCGAGATATGTATCATATCGTGGTTTATGTATCGAGGTATGTATCGTATCAGCAACTTCTTAATGATATCCAGCCCTATATATCGTATCGTTTAATGTGATGATACAGTATCGATATCGTGGGCTGCTGTGTCGATATATCGCCAAGAATATTTTTGGTATATTTTACAAAATTATTTTGTTACAGCTACAGTTTTGTTGCTTGTTCAGAGGAAGGCAACTCCTTAATGTGACACATTTGACATTTTCACTGTTTTGATGATTAAAATGTTTGTGTGTCATATTCATTTTGCGCAAGAAGTGGTTTAACAAAGACTTTTAGTATCACATCCATCATTATTTTTTTATTGAACTGTATCGAATCGATTTGAAATATATCGTATCGAACTGAACGTGCACTGTATTGAGATATGTATCATATTGTGGCCTATGTATTGTATTGGCAACTTCTTAATGATATCCAAACCTATATATCGTATCGTTTAATTTGATGATACAGCATCGATATCATGGGCTGCTGTGTCGATATATCGCCAAGAATATTTTTGGTATGTTTTACTAAATTATTTTGTTACAGGGCTACAGTTCTGTTCCTTTTTCAGAGGAAAACTCTTTTATGAAACTCGTTTATGCAACACATTTGACATTTTCACTGTTTTGATGATTAAAATGTTTGTTTTTCTTATTCACTTTGCATAAGAAGCGGTTTAACAAAGACTTTTAGTATCACAGCCAAGATTTAGCCTTTATTTTATCTTTTACTGAATCAAATTGATGTGAAAGATATCGTATTGAATCTTATCGAATTAAAAGCTCACTGTATCGAGATACATATCGTATCGTAGCCTATGTATCGAGATAAGTATCATATCTGCAACTTCCTAACGATACCCAGTAGGGATGTAACAATGACTAAAATATTGTGATATCGTATCTTCAAAAGTCTCACAATAATATCGTGGGCTGTCACAATATATCGAATCACAAGTTCCTTCGCTTAAATGAATGGTTTTATCGTAGCAACAGCTTTTAATCATCAGATACTACATATCCCATGATTCATTTCAGCGCAGACAACATGAAGAAATATGTTTCTTACTTGAATTCTTGGGATTATGACGGAAAATAATTCACACCAAAATCGTGTCAAGGTATTTTAAAAGCAAAAACGTGTCACATCTACAATTATATCAGCCTCTCCAAAATATCGCAATAAATATCGTACTGTGAGATGCATATCGTGATGAACCCTTCAAAAGAAAATTTACACAGTGTGCATTTAATCTGGATCATATTTTGGATGTATAATTTGTGAATGGCAACAGTGACTATGAAGGTTGAGACTGAACAAAATTTAGATTTAGAGAGACAATAAAAGCATCACACACCCTCTTTAACTGGCTGTAGTTTTTCTCTGGAAGTGTCTTAAGTTCAGGCAGAATTGAGTGAATAAATAATAATAAAAAAAGTTTTATAGTGTCCGTCTCACTGCCCTTTTCCAGGAGTGAGAGCTCTGTCCGTTTATAATTATCTTGGTCCTGTCCTCTCACATGATCCGGGGTCGTGACTTTAATTCGGCACTTTTGAACAACAGCCCACAGCTCCGCTCCTGTCTGCTCCTGCCTGCTCCTATCTGCTCCTGCCTGCTCCTGTCTGCTCCTGCCTGCTCCTGTCTGCTCCTGCCTGCTCCTGTCTGCTCCTGCCTGCTCCTGCCTGCTCCTGCTGCTCCTGTCTGCTCCTGTCTGCTCCTGCTGCTCCTATTTGCTCCTGCCTGCTCCTGCCTGCTCCTGCCTGCTCCTATCTGCTCCTGCCTGCTCCTGCCTGCTCCTGTCTGCTCCTGTCTGCTCCTATTTGCTCCTGCCTGCTCCTGCCTGCTCCTATCTGCTCCTGCCTGCTCCTGTCTGCTCCTGCCTGCTCCTGTCTGCTCCTGCTCCTGCCTGCCTGCTGCTCCTGCTGCTCCTGTCTGCTCCTGTCTGCTCCCTGCTCCTGCTCCTGCCTGCTCCTCTGCTCCATCTGCTCCTGCTCCTGCTGCTCCTATCTGCTCCTGCTCCTGCTCCTGTTGCTCCTGCCTGCTCCTGCTGCTCCTATCCTGCTCCTGCTCTGCTGCTCCTGCTCCTGCTCTGCTCCTATTCTGCTCCTGCCTGCTCCTGTCTGCTCCTGTCTGCTCTTGTCTGCTCCTGCCTGCTCCTGTCTGCTCCTGCCTACTCCTGTCTGCTGTCTGCTCCTATCTGCTCCTCCTACTCCTGCTCCTGTCTGCTCCTGCCTGCTCCTATCTGCTCCTGCCTGCTCCTGTCTGCTCCTGTCTGCTCCTGCCTGCTCCTATCTGCTCCTGCCTGCTCCTGTCTGCTCCTGCCTGCTCCTGCCTGCTCCTATCTGCTCCTGCTGCTCCTGTCTGCTCCTGTCTGCTCCTGTCTGCTCCTATATGCTCTGTCTGCTCCTGCCTGCTCCTGTCTGCTCCTATCTGCTCCTGCCTGCTCCTGTCTGCTCCTGCCTGCTCCTGTCTGCTCCTGCCTGCTCCTATCTGCTCCTGCCTGCTCCTGTCTGCTCCTATCTGCTCCTGCCTGCTCCTGTTTGCTCCTGTCTGCTCCTGCCTGCTCCTATCTGCTCCTGCCTGCTCCTGTCTGCTCCTGCCTGCTCCTGTCTGCTCCTGCCTGCTCCTGCCTGCTCCTGTCTGCTCCTGCCTGCTCCTGTCTGCTCCTATCTGCTCCTGCCTGCGCTTTGCTAAATATCGGTATAGGCAAATATCGGTTATCGACCAGCAGCAGGCTAAAACTTGGATATCAGTATCGGCTAATAAAATAAAATAAAAAAAAGAATTATATTAGCCCACGCACTCTAAAACATGTGACAAATAAATATAAATGAAAAACAACTACAAACATTTTGAGACTTTATAGTCTTTTTATTTGTAAAAAAATATATATATAAAAATAAAATTTAAAAAAGTAATAATAAACAAAAAAGAAAATATGTAAACGTATTCATTCCCTCAAAATGACAAAAGTTATGAATAAAAAAAAAATTCTCAATACACAAACAAAATACTAGTTTGTAAAAAATAATAACTACTGAAATAATCGTGAGCTGAAACCCACAAATGCGTGTTTTAACCTGCGTCGTCTCTTGTTTTATTGCACAGGTACTTTTGCGGTGATCAGTCTGATGATCGGGGGCGTGGTGGTGCGAGAGGCTCCAGACTCCGACTTCTACATCCCGGCGAACGGGACAAACATGTCCGCCGTCCTGGACGAAGTGGCCAGAGACGCTCGCAGGGTCCAGGTGGCCATGGTCTTCACCACCATCACCGGAACCATACAGGTCAGACACAAACACAATACATGCTTCACGAATTACAGACTTCTGGTCATCGCGCAATCCATACTGGGAAGGATCCTCCGAAAAAGTGAGCATCAAACCTCCATGTTTGTTTTCCCAGTGGGATGTGTCTATTGTCAAAGTCGATCTTTTCAAGTCTTTTGAACCATATCACTTTTGTTTCTGGTTCTGATATTGTCATATTTTAGTTTTGGGATTCGGACATTGTAATTGTGTGGTTGTTGGATCATAACAGCGGAAAACGGCTTGAGAAATGGGCTTTGGAACTTTGTGAACTAAAGATAGATAAGATAAGATAATCCTTTATTGTCTCCCATGGGAGAAATTTGTCTTGGGACAGGGGGTAACATGTTTTATCAAAAAACAGGACAACACAACACAAAGCAGCACATAAACAAACACCATAAAACAAAGTAAATATGAGACAAGTATGACCACGAGTGATGCACCAACAGGACCCTTAAATTATCCTTAACAGGCAAACCCTTGCATTCTTCTGTTCTATTAATTATTGCACATTCCCTAAGCCTATGTGCAGTTTTAGTTATAATTATTGCACATTCCCTAAGCCTATGTGCAGTTTTAGTTATAATCATTGCACATTCCCTTAGCCTATGTGCAGATTTAATTATTGCACATTCCTTAAGCCTATGTGTAGCTTTAATTGCACATTCCCTACACCTATGTGCAGTTTTGATTGCACAATCCCTAAGCCTTTTATAATTATTTTTTAACTGCACTATCTGAGTTTAGCAGTTTAACAGCTAGTGGCACAAAATAACTGCAAAAGTGAATCAGATGTGTGTGACTGCAAACCTCCGTTCAAACTGTTTTGAAAAATAGTGAAGGCGATGGGCAGGATTGATCCACAGGAAGAACCAAAAAGGAAACATTTGGCTGCCTAAGAAATCATCCTGAGTTTGCAGAGAACATTTTGTATGTGGAGCAACAACAAAACAAAATCCCGTTTGTTAATCGAGAGGTGCAGAAGACAAACAGACATGTGCCAAAATAACTGTAAAACACAAATAAATAAGACCGATTATGAGACAAATAGTTGCTGCAAAATATCAGCTTGTTTGTCTTTGATTGTGTAATATTTTCAAATCCTCTCGTATGTCTCTGCTCTAAGCCAGAGACCAAACGAGATCTGATCCGTCCTTTCAGTCACACTTTGTAGTATTTACTTTTCCCTCTGATCTAACCTTTTTCTCACTCCTTTGTTTCTTTCTCACTGTTTTTGCCTCCACCTCTCCCTCTTTCACACATTTCCTCTGGTTTAACCTCCGCTTCTCCCTTTTTACACATTTCCTCTGTTTTTGCCTCCCTCTCTTTCAGTCTTTCACACATTTCCTCTGGTTTCATTTCTCCCTCATTCATTTTCTACCTCCGCTTCTCTCCCTCTTTCACACATTTCCTCTGTTTTTGCCTCCCTCTCTTTCAGTCTTTCACACATTTCCTCTGGTTTAACCTCCGTTCTCTCCCTCTTTTACACATTTCCTCTGTTTTTGCCTCCCTCTCTTTCAGTCTTTCACACATTTCCTCTGGTTTAACCTCCGCTTCTCTCCCTCTTTTACACATTTCCTCTGATTTTACTTCCCCCTGTCGCTTTTTCACACATTTCCTCTGGTTTAACCTCCTCTTCTTTCCCTCTTTCACACATTTACTCTGGTTTATAGTCCCCATCTCTCCCTTTTTCACACATTTCCTCTGTTTTTACCTCCCCCTCTTTTCGTTTTTCGCACACGTCTTCTGTTTTTACCTCCCCCTCTTTCAATCTTTCACACTTTTCTTCTGTTTTGGCCTCCCCCTCTTTCCCTCTTTCACACATTTCCTTTGTTTTAACCTCCCCCTCTTCCGCTTTCACCCACGTTTTCTGTTTTTGTTTTTGTTCCAGATTGTCTTGGGGTTGTTGAGGTTTGGTTTCGTGTCGATCTACCTCTCTGAGCCTCTGGTCCGGGGCTTCACCACAGCGGCGGCGGTTCACGTGGTCGTGTCTCAGCTCAAATATCTCCTCGGGGTGAAAACGCGCAGATACAGCGGCGCCCTGTCCGTCGTCTATGTGAGGATCTGTCTCTCTATTATTGGGATTTTAAACTGTATTACTCCTGTACTCGATAGTGATAAATCCGTGTATCATTCGTTCATTCTTTTTTCAATATAAAACCAAAAATGAGAAAATGAAAAAATAACTGTGTTCTTCGTTATTTATCTCCAAAACCAAAATGAAAAAAATTGATAACGATTTGTTTTTTCAGTTTTTGATTTTGTGTTTAAATGAAGAATGGAAAAAACTGATTCATTTCCCGTTTATGTGATTTCCGTGACTGCGATGCCGGACTGAACCAGGACTGATCCAGGTCCGGGACCAGACCGGGACTGAGACTGGGACCAGACCGGGACCAGAGCGGGACTGAGACCGAGACCAGACCGAGAATGAGATCAGAACTGAAACTGGGACCAGACCGAGTCTGAGACCGAGACCAGACCGAGACCAGACCGAGACTGAGCTCAGAACTGAAACTGGGACAAGACCGAGTCTGAGACCGAGACCAGACCAGAACCAGGCCGGGACCAGACCGGGACTGAGACCGAGACCAGACTGAGACCAGATCTAGACTGAGCTCAGAACTGAAACCGGGACGAGACCGAGTCTGAGACTGAGACCAGACCAGGACCAGACTGAGACTGAGAACAAGACCAGGCCGGGACCAGACTGAGAACAAGACCAGGCCGGGACCAGACCGGAGGCTCAGAGCCCACGACAGGGCCGGAGCTCGAAGCTGAGACTCAGACGCCGCGGAGGCTCAGAGTCAAAGCTCGGAGTGTGCTCTGGTCCCGCTCTGGTCCCGGTGTGGTCCCGGTCTGGTCCCGAACTTGGATCAGTCCTGGTTCAGTTCGGCATCGCAGTCACGGAAGTCACGAAAACGGGAAACAGCCGTTATCGTTTTTTCCATTTTTCATGTAAACACAAAATCGAAAACTGAAAAAACTAATGATTTATCCATTTTTTAAAATTTTGGCTTTGGAGACAAGTAACGAAGAAAACAGTTGTTTTTTCGTTTTCTTATTTTTGGTTTTGTATTGATAAACGAATGAACGAATGATACACGGATTGTGATATTAGCCTGACTTGACACTTTGCCTGTCGTGTTGCAGAGTTTGAACGCGGTCTTCAGTAAAATCACAGAGACGAATATTCCGACTCTGCTGCTGGGCGTGTCGTGTCTGGTGTTCCTGTACATCATTAAAGATCTGAACGAGCGCTTTAAGAAGAAGCTGCCCATCCCCATCCCCGGGGAGATCATCGTCGTGATCGTCTCCACGGGCGTCACCTACGGCATGTCCCTGTCCCAGCTGCACCAGGTCGACATCGTGGGGCACATACCAACAGGGTCAGTGCTATCCACACTTTTTAAAAATGTAATTACTGTATTTTTTGGACTATAAGTCGCTCCGAAGTATAAATCGCACCAGCCAAAAAATGCGCAATGAAGAAGAAAAAAACATGTAAATGGCACCGGACTATAAGTTGCACTTTTTGGGGGAAATTTATTTTATGAAATCAGAGACCAGGAACTGACATTTCGTGTTTAAATTCAAATTATAGTAATAACAACAGAATAAAAAACAACAGACTGTTAACGTGACATATGAACAGTTCTTCAGGTAACTATAACATAAACAACAGAACAGAACACTGAATCACTAAATCCATTCAGTTCTTCATCTTCGGTGTCACTTCTGAGCAACTCCGGAGGTAAACGGAGCACTGCTTCCTGTGGACTTTTTCTCCAATCTTTTATGCTTTAAAATTTCTGTATCTGAAGTTTTGCACCACATTTTCACAAATAATAATCACACAGTCTTGTAACTAAACTAGAAGTGCAGAGCTCTCATCTTTGAACACTTAAGAGTCTCAGAGAGAGTGGTTTTACTGTAGACAGGAAACAGGAAACAGCGATCACACTCACAGATTTGTATCCTGTGGTCTGCAGACAGATCCCGCTGCAGTCTTTGAAATCGGCGCTTTTAATTCTCATCAGATTCTCCTCGTGTCTGTGGTGTGAGCTTTTTGTCACACGTTTAAAAAATGGTTTAAGACTGAAAAATCCTGTAGTGCCAACCTTTTTTCCTCTGGTGAGCTACCTTTACAAAACAAAAATGCTAGAGAGCTACTCATTTTAATGGCCACGAGAAATTGAGATGATCGTAAGAAAGAGGGCGAACCTTTGGGTACAGTTAGATGCCCATAAAACATAAACCATTGTCATTTTATTAGTGTACAAACTTTTGCTTCAAAATGATCCATTTACAGTAGTAATAGGCATGTAATTAACCAAATGTTTGTTATTCAGCACAATGGTATAATTCCGAAATCCTTTGGCGAGCTACTTGGAAGGGGTTGGAGATCTACTGGTAGCTACAGGTTGCTCCAACCTCCCGAGCTATAGATTGGAAACCCCTTCTGTAGTGTGTGGCGGCTTTAAGCTGTTTTTAATTTTACATTTCGAATGTCTTATCACACTGATGTGTCCTGATCTGACCTGAGCCTAAACTTAAATTCTAAATATTTGTCCAGAGTCCGACTTCCATGCACTAATACACACATAGAGACAGACAGACTTGCCTCCTCATACACTCCTCCTAACTCCTACAACAGCAACAGCAACAGAGTATACATTAAAGAACAATGATATAAACATTATTATATAAAATAATAATAGAACAAACTAAACAAACTAAAAACCAGAGATGGGACTTGCAAGTTGTGACTTGAACTCAAGTCAGACTTGAGTCACTATTTTTAGGACTTGAGACTTGACTTCATAAAATGGACTAAGACTTGGGACTCGACTTGGACTTGAAGGTCAGTGACTTGGAGCTTGACTCGGACTTGAAGCCAGTGACTTAAGAAGACTTGAGAAGTACTTTTAAATCAGAATTCTTTCTGTTCTGGCTGTAATGATTCACACTAAGATCTTGTCAAGAAAAAATTATATTTCTACAACTCATAAATAATTTATAAATACTCATGTATAAATACTCATGTATAAATGTACTATGATTTTTAAGTACAATTAATCTTAAAATTGAATAAATTGCAAAAATTTAAGCTATATTACGTACTTTGGTTTAAAGACTTGAAATGACTTGAAGCTCAAAGCAGATGAATTGGACTTGACTTGGACTTATGGGCCAGTGACTTGAGACTCGACATGGACTTGCCTGTATTTCACTTGGGACTTGACTCAGACTTGAGGTCAAAGACTTGAGACTTACTTGAGACTTGCAGAACAATGACTTGGTCCCACCTCTGCTAAAAACATAAACAAGGAGTTTTGATATATGAAAACAAAGATGATTTAAATGAACAGAAAGATGTTTAAAGTTCTTAAGGGTGTGGGTTCTCTTCCAGTCTGACGGAGCTTTGTACTGAAACGATCTCTTGAGGTCAAAATAAGTCTGCTGTGTACAGTCTGCATCTAATTATGGAGCATTTTATGGAAAAGCATTTATAAACTTATAGTGGTGAATAATTCGGATACCCAGAATGCATAAGGTCAGTGAGGAATAACTGCAGATGGTTTAAAGCAGGGGTGTCAAACTAATTTTGGTCCGGGGGCCGTTTCCAACCGACTTTGATCCCAAAGGGGCCGGATCAGAAAACTCATGTCATACAAACCCCAAAAATAACAATAAGTTCAAATATTTGTGCAGAGAAACACAAATCTATTACAGAAATCTTTTTTAATTGATTAACTCTTTCTTTTACAAAATATTATAATATTATGAACAACCTGAAACTTTAAGAAAAATGCAATTTCAACACAATGTTTTAACATGAACTTGTATGTAAACAGGAATAAGTCCATTTTTTCTTGTAAAATCCTGCACTCGGCTCCACTTTTCTCATGTTGGACATTTTCTGATGAGGTTGTCACGGTCAACAGTCAAAACGATCGTCCTTTAAGAGCGTTTGGAAAGAGACAAGTCTTCATTTGTGCTGCTCTGGTGGGAGGGGCCACGTACAGAGACGCTGGAGACGCTGCTGTGATAAACACCACAGAAAATTAACAATATTTTAATAGAAAATATTATTAAAATATTTTAGTAGAAAGTCAGCTGAGGGCCAGATTAAAGGTCTTATGTTTGACACCTGTGGTTTAAAGTGAACTAGTTCTGTTTTTGACTTTTTTAAGACAATGAAAATCAGGTACAGCGTCTTTAAAGCTCTTAAGAGTCTGTTTATGTTGATATGTTTCCTCTAAATGAAACTTGTTTTTTGTGTTGTGGTTCCAGGCTGAGTGCTCCAGCTCTCCCAGACTTCTCCCTGGTTCCAAACCTGATCACAGACGCCTTCGCCGTGGCCATCGTGGGCTACTCCATGGGCATCTCTCTGGCCAAGATCTTCGCTCTGAAACACGGGTACACAGTGGACGGCAACCAGGTCAGGCCCCACACGGAAAAAAAAAGAAAAAAAGTATAGTTTAATCAGTTTAATTAGGGAGGGTTTGTGAGTTATCTGTGAAAAATCTGCCCCAGTCTCTGTGCGTGTCCATGTGTCAGTCACAGTTTGTCCCCAAGATTTGCCTTTTTAAACAGATTAATGAGTAAAAATATGAATTTATATCCCAGATAATTACATTTTGTTATTATTTTTACGAAGGTGAAATGTTAATATGTGAATTTCACTACAACCTCATGTAAATTTGGTCCTTGCTTTGGATTTTAAAGGCTTAAAATCATAAACACTGTGACTGTGAGACTGTGAGTGAGCAATCGAAACTGCAAATGTTGGTCTGAAAAAGGAATCTGTCTGAACAAGTAAATTATCAGAAGACCAGATGACATGTCCTCCAGCTCAGTTTTAATTATTGCATTTTACGGAGTATAAATCGCTCCGGATTATAAGTCGCACCAGCCAAAAAATGCGTAATGAAGAAGAAAAAAAAATATATAAGTCGCACTTTTTGGGGGAAATTTATTTTTCAAAATCAGAGACCAGGAACCGACATTTCCTGTTGAAAGTCAAGTTCTGGTAAAAACAATAGAAGAGAGAACAACAGACTGTTAACGTCACATATGAACAGTTCTTCAGATAAACTATAACATAAACAACAGAACAGAACAAGTTTAACAAACTCTCCATCTCACTCCAAATCACTAAATCCATTAAATTCTTCATCCTCGGTGTCACTTCTGAACAACTCAACCTCGACCTCCGGAGGTAAACAGAGCGCCGCTTCCTCTTCTGTGTCGCTGTCGTCAGACTCAGCATCAGTTCCAGTTAGAATTATTCGGGTCTTTCTGAATCTCGACAGGATGGTTTCGGTGTCACTGAAGTCCAGGCTTTGTCCATCCATCCAGTGACTTCAGGAAAGTTTCATGGTGCATCCTCCCAGTTACCATGAAACTGTGTTCTCCATCTCCGCTTTCCTCCAGTCCCTCACAAGTTTCTCGCTCACTCCAAACTTTCTTTCTGCTGCTCGATTACTGTTTTCGGTTGAGTGTTTCACGACTTGCAGCAGGACAGAGGCTCTTTCTGCAGGAGACATGCACAGTAGAGCCAAGTGACAGTGGTACAGGAGGAACAGGAGCAGTAGATACTCACACACAAGACTAGAGCCTCTGTCAGTGTGAAAATGTTAATATATAAGCCGCACCAGAGTATAAGTCACAGGAAACACCCAAACCATGAAAAAAAGTGCGACTTATGGTCTGAAAAATACTGTAATTAAAAAGAATCTAGTGATGAGAAACCAACCTTTTCTAAACCCTTTTGTTGTTGTTGTTCTCAGGAGCTGCTGGCGTACGGCCTGTGTAACTTCATCAGCTCGTTCTTCCAGACCTTCGCAGTGACCTGCTCCATGTCCAGGAGCCTGGTCCAGGAGAGCACCGGAGGAAAGACTCAGGTGAAGGCTCGAGTGTCAAGATACTTCAGAACTGATTTCAATACAGGGAATACAGGAGGGACTCTATGGGTGTCTCACGATTCTAGTTTGATTCTGATTTTCAATGCATCTTTAAGTTTTACTCAAGGTTGTAGGTTTGGTCTCAGCTTTGGTGGGGACATTATCAACTAACCCCCCCATGACACCAACTGGTTACTTGATTAACAGATTAATTATATAATATTGTTTACTTTTCATATGATGCACACTGCAAAAACCAAACAGCACATATTTATAAGAAAGGGTCAAATGGGATCAGAAGTTGCGTAAATGTTTTATGAATTCTTTCCAAAAACACACAGAGTCTGGGCAGGTCCAAAATAAGTTAGAGGTGGAAAGTTGAAAAAACTGAGGCATTCAAAAAGTACAAAATAATAGTAAAATAATAAAAATAAATAAATAATACTAATAAATTAAATAATTATAGAAATAAACCATCAGTTTGCCCTGATAAAGGTGTGATTTTAACTGTATCTGTCATGTGGTATTAAAGGCTTTTAATTATTTTGTCCTTGAGCACTTGAGTGCCTCAGCTTTTTCAGCTTTGTATTTGAGACTGGTTCCTACACCGAAAGGACAATTCTGCACAGTCTGTGTATATCCAAGTAGCACTCCTGCCCCCCAAAGTTTTGATATGTGAAAGGTGGTTTCATTTTTCAGTTCACAAATTGTCCAGTTTGTGTCCGTGAAACGAATAATGATAAAACAATAAATTACTTTTACTTACGTTTCCAACTTCTCTGTTCCTTTTCTTTTCATGTTGTAGTTCTTCTTCTTCACTTGCCGCTTGATCGGTCCGTCGGAAAATAGAGTCCCGTGGCATTTGCGTTTGTGTTGTGGCGTTTGTATTTGTTGCGGCGTTTGCATTAAAATAGAGTCCCGCGGTCATTTCCGTTGTGGCTTTTTTTGGTTTGTTGTGGCTTTTTGTTGTGTTGTCGCATTTATAATTGTTGCAGCGTTTGGCCCTCCAAGACCTTTAATCTGGCCCTCGGCTGATTTTCAACTTAAATATTTTAATTAAAATATTGGTCTCCAGTGTCTCTGTACGTGGCCCCTCCCACCAGAGCAGCACAAATGAAGACTTGTCTCTTTCCAAACGCTCTTAAAGGACGATCGTTTTGACTGTTGACCGTGACACCCTCATCAGAAAAATGTCCAACATGAGAAAAGTGGAGCCGAGTGCAGGATTTTCCAAGAAAAATTGACTTATTCCTATTTACATACAAGTTCATGTTAAAACATTGTGTTGAAATTGAATTTTTCTTAAAGTTTCAGGTTGTTCATAATAATATAATATTTTGTAAAAGAAAGAGTTCATCAATTAAAAAAGATTTCTGTAATAGATTTGTGTTTCTCTGCACAAATATTTGAACTTATTGTTATTTTTGGGGTTTATATGACATGAGTTTTCTGATCCGGCCCCTTTGGGATCAAAGTTGGTTGGATACGGCCCCCGGACCAAAATGAGTTTGACACCTCTGGTTTAGCGGATAACAGCGATGTAGAAGTTTGTAGTAGATTTCTCGTTGCTTGTTGGTGATGAGATATTTGTGAGGTCATGTCCGTACATTTTAGAGTAGGTTTTCATTTGGGAAGTGCACTTGTGCTGATAGTCGCTCTTTTTTCGCCGCGACTCATTATAAGACAAGTTTAACTGAAGATGAAGCCGAGTAAGTTCCTTTTTGTAAAGTTTTTCAAAGTTTGTTGCACAGCGTCTTCACTCACTCCTGCTCAAGCTGACATCTTCAGGTGCGGCCCTGTCCTGTCGCTTCCCCAGTTTAGGCTCCTGGCTCCACTAATGACATCACTCTGTTGCAGCCAATGAAACAGCGGCAGGTGTAACCCTGTCGTCATATCACTGAATGCAACTCAGAATGTCTAAGAAACAAAATGTGAACTAAAACGTGTTCAATTAATACTATTGAGTTTGGAAAAATATTGGAATAAATGTAAATGTTTGTTTATTAAAATTAAATGTCAAAAGTCTTCCCCAAATATTGGTTGTGACACGTCCCCACCATCCCGATGCAAACCCTTGATTTTACTGCACTTTACTGTTAATATCGAATAAGTGCAGAGCTTCAGGATTAAGCAATAACTTCTATTTTACACAATGACGTTATTGAAATGGCTAATTGCACTGTTTTGTCTCTGTGAAATAATATCGGCGCATCTGCATCTACTCAAACGTTTGATCTGCAAAACTGATTACTGTATTTTTCCCACCCCGATTAAGAAAAAGACTCGACACTTTACAGCAACTCCGACAATGACACTTTTTTCAGACAGTAGAATGTGATTTTCAGTGTTAAATGTTTGTACTTTCTTTTCTATTTCCCGTGTTCAGATTGCTGGGCTGCTGGCGTCTCTGGTCGTGCTGCTCGTGGTCGTGGCCATTGGGTTTGTGTTCGAGCCTCTGCCTCAGGTGAGAAATGGACTTAAGTAAGAGTTAAAATATCATAAGTCAGAAGTAAACACAGAGCGAGTGCACTTTATTCCCGTTCTCGCTGACCCAGAGGAGCTGTGGAGTGACGCAGACAGCAGCAGGTCGTGTTCTGTCCTGTGACTGTAGTTGAACACAAACAGCTCTCAGACACACTGATAACACCGACCTCTGCACACGTCACTGCACCTTTCACCTGGATATGAAGTCAGCCTTTATTCACAGCAGACTCGTCTCATTTTGTTCATCAATCTTATATTAAAACAAACTTTAAAAAAAAAAAAGTAAATAAAAAATATCCCTCCTGGATCGTCCGTTCTGGCAGAGAATCATCCAGAACTGCCCTCTGAAGGTCATCCAGGCTTCATAGAACCACAGTTACAGGTCTAAACCTGGTCTAGATGAGGTCTGACGATCAAAGAGTAATCGAGCTTTGTAGTACTGCTAAACCACAGTTAAACTTGGACTAAACACATTCTAAACCCAGTCTAAACCCGGTCTAAACTTGGTCTAAACTTTGTCTAAAACCCGGTCTAACCTGGTTTAAACCTTGTCTAAAACCCAGTCTAAACCTTGTCTAAAACCCGGTCTAAACCCAGTCTAAACCTTGTCTAAAACCTGGTCTAAAACCCAGTCTAAACTCGGTCTAAACCTGGTATAAACCCGGTCTAAACTTGGGTCTAAACCCAGTCTAAACCTAGTCTAAACCTGGTCTAAACCCGGTCTAAATCTGGTCTAAAACCTAGTCTAAAACTGGGTTTAAAACCTAACCTAAACCTTGTCTAAACTTGGTCTAAACCCGGTCTAAGCCCAGTCTAAAACCCAGTCTAAACTTGGTCTAAAACCTGTCCTAAACCTGGTCTAAACCTGGTCTAAACCTGGTCTAATCCTGGTCTAATCCCAGTCTAAACCCAGTCTAAACTTGGTCTAAACCCGGTTTGAAACCTGGTCTTAACCTGGTCTAAACACGGTCTAAAACCCAGTCTAAACCTGGTCTAAACTCATTCTAAACCCGGTCTAAACGCAGTCTAAACTCGGTCTAAACCCAGTCTAAACTCAGTCTAAAAGCAGTCTAAACTCGTTCTAAACCTGGTCTAAACCCAGTCTAAACTTGGTCTAAACGCAGTCTAAACTCGGTCTAAACTCGGTCTAAACCCGGTCTAAACTCGGTCTAAACCCAGTCTAAACTCGGTCTAAACTCGGTCTAAACCCAGTCTAAACTCGGTCTAAACTCGGTCTAAACCCAGTCTAAACTCAGTCTAAACTCGGTCTAAACCCAGTCTAAACTCAGTCTAAAAGCAGTCTAAACTCGTTCTAAACCTGGTCTAAACCCAGTCTAAACTTGGTCTAAACGCAGTCTAAACTCGGTCTAAACTCGGTCTAAACCCGGTCTAAACCCGGTCTAAACTCAGTCTAAACCCAGTCTAAACTCGGTCTAAACCCAGTCTAAACTCGGTCTAAACTCGGTCTAAACCCAGTCTAAACTCAGTCTAAACTCGGTCTAAACCCAGTCTAAACTCAGTCTAAAAGCAGTCTAAACTCGTTCTAAACCTGGTCTAAACCCAGTCTAAACTCGGTCTAAACGCAGTCTAAACTCGGTCTAAACTCGGTCTAAACCCGGTCTAAACCCGGTCTAAACTCAGTCTAAACCCAGTCTAAACTCAGTCTAAACTCGGTCTAAACCCAGTCTAAAGTCGGTCTAAACTCGGTCTAAACTCAGTCTAAACCCAGTCTAAACTCGGTCTAAACCCAGTCTAAACTCAGTCTAAACGCAGTCTAAACTCAGTCTAAACTCGGTCTAAACCCAATCTAAACTCAGTCTAAACTCGGTCTAAACTCAGTCTAAACTCAGTCTAAACTCGGTCTAAACCCAGTCTAAACTCAGTCTAAAAGCAGTCTAAACTCGTTCTAAACCTGGTCTAAACCCAGTCTAAACTCGGTCTAAACGCAGTCTAAACTCGGTCTAAACCTGGTCTAAACCCGGTCTAAACTCAGTCTAAACCCAGTCTAAACTCGGTCTAAATTCAGTCTAAACCAAGTCTAAAGTCGGTCTAAACTCGGTCTAAACTCAGTCTAAACCCAGTCTAAACTCGGTCTAAACCCAGTCTAAACTCAGTCTAAACGCAGTCTAAACTCGGTCTAAACCCAGTCTAAACTCGGTCTAAACCCAGTCTAAACTCAGTCTAAACTCCAGTCTAAACTCGGTCTAAACCCGTCTAAACTCAGTCTAAACCCAGTCTAAACTCGGTCTAAATTTGGTCTAAACCAAGTCTAAAGTCGGTCTAAACTCGGTCTAAACTCAGTCTAAACTCAGTCTAAACGCAGTCTAAACTCGGTCTAAACTCGGTCTAAACTCAGTCTAAACTCAGTCTAAACTCGGTCTAAACCCAGTCTAAACTCAGTCTAAACTCGGTCTAAACTCAGTCTAAACTCAGTCTAAACTCGGTCTAAACTCAGTCTAAACTCAGTCTAAACTCGGTCTAAACTCAGTCTAAACGCAGTCTAAACGCAGTCTAAACTCGGTCTAAACTCAGTCTAAACGCAGTCTAAACGCAGTCTAAACGCAGTCTAAACTCGGTCTAAACTCAGTCTAAACTCGGTCTAAACCCAGTCTAAACTCAGTCTAAACTCGGTCTAAACCCAGTCTAAACTCAGTCTAAACTGCAGTCTAAACTCGGTCTAAAACCCGGTCTAACCCCAGTCTAACCTTCTGTCTCTGTCAGACGGCGCTGGCGGCCATCATCATGGTGAACTTGTTGGGGATGTTCAGACAGTTCAGGGACATTCGTCACCTGTGGAGGACGTCCAGGATCGAGCTGGTCTGTGACTTTACTCTTTTATTTAAACTTTATTTCACAGGAGACGTGTTCTGCTCAATCTTTTATCCACGTCATAAATGTGTCTTATATTTGATAAATACTGAAGAGTCGTGTGTCTCCTCAGAGCATCTGGGTGGTGGCCTTCGTCTCCTCGGTTCTGCTCGGACTGGACCTGGGTCTCCTGGTCTCCATCGCGTTCGGGATCCTCACCGTCGTCTACAGAACTCAGCAGTGAGAGATTTTTAAGTTTTCATATTTAATTGTTTTTTTTTATGTCATAAATATTTGTCACTTTGAGCAGAAGTTTTAATATTAAACCCCGTGTCTCCTCAGTCCTCACTCTTCAGTCCTGGGCCAGGTTCCTGACACGGCCCTGTACCTCTCTGTGGACCAGTACGAAGAGGTGAGTCTCAGGTCTGAACCAAGACTGAACTAGTACTAAACCAGGACTAAACCAGGATTGAACCAGGTCTAAACAAGGACTAAACCAGGACTAAACCAGGTCTAAACAAGGACTAAATCAGGTCTAAACCAGGTCTAAACCAGGACTAAACCAACTAACCAGGTCTAAACCAAACTAAACCAGGACTAAACCCCAAAAAAAAACAAAAAAAAAAAAAAAAAAAAAAAAAAAAAAAAAAAAAAAAAAAATAAACCTAAAGGTAAACAGGTTTAAACCAGGTCTAAACCAGGTCTAAACCAGGTCTAAACCAGGTCTAAACAAGGACTAAATCAGGTTTAAACCAGGTCTAAACCAGGTCTAAACTAGGACTAAACCACGTCTAAACAAGGACTAAACCAGGACTAAACCAGGTCTAAACAAGGACTAAACCAGGTCTAAACAAGGACTAAATCAGGTTTAAACCAGGTCTAAACCAGGACTAAACCACGTCTACACAAGGACTAAACCAGGACTAAACCAGGTCTAAACCAGGACTAAACCAGGTCTAAACCAGGACTAAACAAGGAATAAATCAGGCCTAAACCAGGTCTAAACAAGGACTAAACCAGGACTTAACCAGGTCTAAACCAGGACTAAACCAGGTCTGCTGTTCTGATGTTTATTTATTGCAGCTCATGATTTTTTTAATTTTTTTTATACATTTAGAATATTTTTTGAGGGTAATTCTGCTTTAAGATTTTTGTGTCAATGGCATAAATTATTTTTTTCAGTGTTATTATCGTTTATTGTCTATATTTACTTTTTACTATTTACTATTTACAAAATATCAAACCTCAAAATGTGTCTCAGTTCTTTCCCAAGAATACCGTCCCTAATCTGATAATAGTTTAATAGCAGTTTTGACGTTGTTTTTAACACTGGTTTAATCCTCGGGCTCTGGTTTGGTTCCCAGGCGTCTGAGGAACAGGGAGTGAAGATTTTCCAGTTCGGCTCCTCCATTTACTTCGCCAACAGTGACCGCTACGTCTCCAGCCTCAAGGAGCAGGTGAGATTTAAACTTTAGATAATCAGATTCTGTTTGATCACATGCAGAAGTTTTGCAATAATCTCAAAGCGCAGGATTGAATTTGAACGGGTCTAATTGGAACATTGCAAAGGTCATCTGCAAACAACAAGATATTCATTTTCTCCATGGGGCCTCGGGGTCTGTTTACACGAGAACGCTTGGGTAAAAACAACAAAATATTTTATCAGAAGTACGTTTTGTTTAGACGGTGACGGCGTTTTGGGGGCTTAAAAACGTAAAAATCTAAAACCACCCTCCAGAGTGGAAAAGTTGAATACACTCCGCCGTAGTGTTTCCGTCTACACTGCCCAAGACGCAAAACTCTGGTCAGATCTGCTCAGGTCGTGTACATGTTTACGTCACATACATACAGGACACAGAAACAAACATGTTGGATCATTTTCTGCTCTGGCAGCTCTAATAAACTTACAGGAGGCGTCTCCGAACTAATGTGGAGAATCTGCAGAGACACTATTAGTGAACAGAGGAGGATCTGCAATCACCTCTGTCAAATTCTGGATGCACCAGGTCGTCGCAGTCGAGTCAGACGGATCTGGACGAGACCTGGAGAACCAGTCGATGGTGGGATAACTTTGTGGAAGGTGGAGCTGATGGAAATGTGTGACGTGAAAAACTTCTGTATGTCCAAAGACGCCCTTGTTGCTTTAAGTACAAACAAACACAATCAAATTCCACACACTTTTGCATCACCATATGCACGCAGATTTCCTTCTGAAAACACTCGTCTAAACGAGGAATAAAAAGTGAAGACGCGACGCCACTGTTTAGGCCTGGACAAACTGTCCCTGTGTTTCAGATGTCGGGCTGAGTTTGATTAGAAAGGCTGGCGCCGCCTAGTGCCTCCACTCAATTTCATTTCTCTCTAGCGACTAGGTCAGGAATCAGAATACACTAGACTGTTTGCAAAAACACAAGTGCGTACAAGTTCGAGTTCGGACACCAGCCAATCAGTGAAGAGCCAGACATTCTGTGTTGGCAACGATTCCAGAGATCGAGGATTTAAAGCCGGAACAAAGAGAATGTTTGGTGAATTTTATCATGTTATGATGCTATTGCCCTAATATATGCATTACATACGTCACAACCAAATAGCAGTGATTAGTTAAATACAAAAAGTACCCGTCTACCATCGAGCGAACGAATCCTAATGCTGAGAGGTCAGACGGTTTCCACAAAGTGAAACCAGCTGATGAATCAGACTAGAGTTTGATTCCAGTACTATAACAATACCTGCTTTTAGATACCGGGTCCTGAGCAGTTCTTTTTTCGCTGCATGTATTTTAAAAAAATGTAAATTAATGACCAATATTATTGAGAAAATACCATTCAGTCTTTGAATCACATTATAACTATAGTAATTCATTATTTAAAACAAAGTAGGCTACTATATGATGTTGAAAAATAACTCAAAACGAATGTACGTGCAGATGAACAGAGCACACAGCAGATCCTCACGTGGACTCAAGTTTCACTTTTGTTTTCTTTTTATATAACTCTTCATATCAAAGGCAGCACACATGCTTTTTTCGTTAGGTGAAGAAAAACAGGTAGAGCTCTTCACTGGGTCATAAAAGAGTAAAAAATGTAAAAAATAACAGCACAGGTCTACGAGGCTTGAAACAGTAAGTTATCCTTACAGGAAAATGTAAAAGTGGGCAAGGTACTTCGACTGAATATATTAAAAGTCCTTTATTGCAAGAAGGGACGCCTTTTTTCGTTTTTTTTGTACCAATACTTACCAGACTTAAGTTCCTACCGAAAAAACGAGTTTTAGTACCCAGCCCTAGTCAGATGCCCTCCCTGTGTCTCTGTGGGGTTTCCTCTCGCTTCTCTTTTAATTTGATGATGATTATTTATGTTCTGATCTTGTATTGTGTCTTTCTTATTTTGTAAAGCACTTTGAATTACTTTGTGTGCGACTTGTGCTCTACAAATAAACTTGCCTTGCCTAAAAGCCGCTAACCCTGTAGTTAAATCCTCCACAAACATGTTCTGAAACACACGGGATTCTGGGATTAGTTCAAGAAGTCAGATTTCAGTCTCGTCTCAAAAGTTAACTCTCCTGGAAGTGTTGAAATGAGCTCTGTGAGTCATTTCAAAACCTCAACAGCAAATCTAGTCCCACTTAAATGCATTTCTACATGATCCCTGACAAAAAATAAAACATAAAACAAACAAAAAGCAGAACTGTATTTTTATGCACTGTTCATTGTAGTGAAAATTTGCTATCAACGTTTGTTAAAGCGGACTGAACCAGGTCTAAACCAGGTCTGTCTAAACCAGGTCTAAACCAGGACTGAACCAGGTCTAAACCAGGTCTAAACCAGGACTGAACCAGGTCTAAACCAGGTCTAAACCAGGACAAAACCAGGACTGAACCAGGACTAAACCAGGTCTAAACCAGGACTAAACCAGGACAAAACCAGGACTGAACCAGGTCTAAACAGGTCTAAACCAGGTCTCTAACCAACAGTCTAAACCAGGACTGACTGAACCAGGTCTAAACCAGTCTAAACCAGGTCTAAACCAGGACTGAACCAGGACTGAACCAGGTCTAAACCAGGACTGAACCAGGTCTAAACCAGGTCTAAACCAGGACTAAACCAGGACTGAACCAGGTCTAAACCAGGTCTAAACCAGGTCTAAACCAGGACTGAACCAGGACTAAACCAGACTAAACCAGGACTGAACCAGGACTAAACCAGGTCTAAACCAGGACTGAACCAGGACTGAACCAGGTCTAAACCAGGACTAAACCAGGTCTAAACCAGGTCTAAAGGACTGAACCAGGACTGAACCAGTCTAAACCAGGACTAAACCAGGACAAAACCAGGACTAAACAGGACAAAACCAGGACTGAACCAGGTCTAAACCAGGACTAAACCAGGACTAAAACCAGACTAAACCAGACAAAACCAGGACTGAACCAGGTCTAAACCAGGTCTGAACCAGGACAAACCAGGACTAAACCAGGTCTAAACCAGTCTAAACCAGGACTGAACAGGAGAAACCAGATTAAACCAAGACTAAACCAGGTCTAAACCAGGACTGAACCAGGACTGAACCAGGTCTAAACCAGGACTAAACCAGGACTGAACCAGGACTGAACCAGGATTAAACCAGGACTAAACCAGGTCTAAACCAGGACTAAACCAGGTCTAAACAAGGACTAAACCAGGTCTAAACCAGGACTAAACCATGTCTAAACAAGGTCAAACCCAGGTCTAAACCAGGTAAACCAGGACTAAACCAGGACTAAACCAGGACTGAACCAGGACTAAACCAGGACTAAACCAGGAGAAACCAAGACTAAACCAGGACTAAACCAGGACTAAACCAGGACTGAACCAGGACTAAACCAGGTCTAAACCAGGTCTAAACCAGGACTGAACCAGGACTGAACCAGGATTAAACCAGGACTAAATCAGGTCTAAACAAGGACTAAACCAGGTCTAAACAAGGTCAAACCCAGGTCAAACTCAGGTCTAAACTAGGACTAAACTAGGACTGAGCCAGGACTAAACCAGGACTAAACCAGGACTAAACCAGGTCTAAACAAGGTCAAACCCAGGTCTAAACCAGGACTGAACCAGGTCTTTTTGGCTGAAAGTTACATACTGTGGCTTTAGCAATTATTATCCAAAATCCCCAAAATTCATTCATAAGGTTTAGTTTTATAAAATCTAAAACTTGAAAAAGACGGCCTCTTTAGTTAAACTCCAAATTACTATAATATTAATCTTTTTGGTTCTCTTGAAAATGTCTGGGCAACTTCTGAATAAAATCCTCTTTCTGGTTTAATCCTCACATTTTTTTCCTTTTTTTTTCCCTCTGTCCAGACCGGAGTGAGTCCAGAGCAGATCCAGTATTTGAGAAAAGTGCAAAAGAAGAAAATGAAGAAGTCGAAAGAGAATCACACTCTGGTGGTTTGCGCCAACGAGGAGGTGAGTGTGATCCAGGTACATGGACATCTGCGGTTTATTTACACTGGTCGAGTAATGGAAATGTGATTCTAACGCTCCCGTGGGCTTAATTAATGTTTGGTTACTGATAATTTGCGTAATGTCCAGTGATGTTGACCAGTTTTCCAGTTCTTCGCTCGTGTAGATTTGTACAGACAGAGTGTGAATTGTTATTGTGGTATCAGTCGTTTTATCAAATAGAGCAGATTATTCACAATGAAATAAATCATTAAATTATTCCATTAGTTAAGTAAATATTTCCGTCCTTTGTAGTTTGTTCTCTGCCAGGGTGAAGGAAATTAAAAAGATAACACAATGTAAAATACAGATGGAATAATACTGATTTCAGAATTTAAACAGTGCACTGCTCAAAAAACAAAACAAAAAAGTAAAAGTACGATCACACTGTGGACAGTTTAACTCTTTCCCCCATGAAGACGACATTTGACGACCAACTTGTTTCCTTAATGACGTCTTTTGACACCTCCGCTGTTTCACTAAAGACGTGATTTGATGACCATTAGAAACGGCTCGGTTTTTCACATTTAAACAGAGGCTGTGATCGGTCGGGGCCACTACAACCCACACTAGACTGACCAATAGGATTCAAGGAAATGTTTTCGCAGATTTTTTCCGAAGTTAATCGAAGTAGTGACGATGGTAGCTTCTGGAAAAAAAACAACACGAAACACGTGCAATGGAAAGATCGCGGCGCTGCGGCGCACAGTTTTAGAAATAATGAGGAGCGGACGTATTTTATGGATAAGTTTAGAGAAAGTGACTTTTATAGATTTTAAAGTGATGATGAAGTTGATTATAAAGTGGAAAACAGCGACAGCGACAGACTTACAGAGAGTGAAACTTACGAAGGTGAGAATGCCGCTGATGCGATATCCAAACAAACTATCCGGGCGTTATACTTTATTATGAACCAAAATTGCCCTGAAATCTGGATGTTGCCCAGGCCAGTCCTTTAAAATATTTCAGTCTTTTTTTCCAAGATGAGATGTATAACAGAATCACTACAGAAACAAACACTTATGTGGAGCTCTGCACACGAGAAAGTAACAAAGATGACAAATACTGGACACCCACTGACGAGGAAGAGTTTTATTATTATATTATTATATTATAATAAGCTGAATTAGTTGAATAAGCTAAATGAGTTGAATAAATTAAATAAGTTGAATAAGCTAAATGGAAAAAATTTATTAGGTGCACACAGGTGAACAACAGGTAAAAACAGGTGAACACTTGGCTTTACTGTATCTGGTGATATGAAATCTGTTTAAATACTTTGACAAAGTATATTTTTTAATTTTTTTATGAATATAGTACTCAGAACATGCAGATATCAGATGCTGAATGTAGTTTTTTGTTTTTGATTTTGCACCTGACCAGGTAAACTCTCATTTTCAGTGAGCTGTTATACACCTGTAAATGAATCACATTTAAACCTCCGTAAATGAAGAGTTCAGAGTCTAAAGTTTCCAGAGATACAAATATGTCTGTGTTACAATTAAGTTCATGAGTGTAAAAATTATTTATAATCACTCGTGGAAGTCTGTTTTCTTTTATGCAGTTATGCTCTATGGGCAGCCTCTAGTAATCATATGTTCGGGTTGTTCCGAGTCGGCGTCCAGGGAGGAAAGAGTTAAACCAAAGCATTAACACAGAGACAAACAGGTTGTGGTTGGTACACAGTGCACCTTTAAGTGTCTTAGTCCCCCAAATATCTGATCTCCAGATGAGTTGTTTTTGCCAAATCCTCACGGCTCATGTCGGTAGTGTGAGCGAGGAGGTCTGCAGCTAGTGTCTCTTCGTCAATACTGATTTGTTTTCTTGTTTTTGCAGAGAGGCGTGAGCCATGAGCTGGTGCCAAATCACCACAGCCAAGACAAAGAGGAGGAACAGGTGAACGGACAGGTGAAAGGGCAGGTGAACGGACAGGTGAAGGGCCAGTCGACAGGTGCAGACACAGACTCGGAGGAGGCGGTTTTCATCCAGACTTTGTCCTCTCCGGTCCACTCCATCGTCCTGGACTGGAGCTGTGTGGGCTTCATCGACTCAGTGGGAGCTAAAGCCGTCAAACAGGTAACGAACGAAGTTAAACGTCCCACATCACCAAAATACACTCAAATAATAATAATTTAATAAACAAAACTGAAATTATTTAATATTTTAATTAGGGCCGGGCATGCTAACACGTAAATTTAGCATTAACTAATTCATTATCGCAACAATTTTTACTTATTTTTATTTTATTTATTTATTTATTTATTTTAAACATCTGTTGCTCACTGGATTTTATTTTGAAAAAGTCCACCGCAAGCGTTTATTTAAGTTTGACGTCTTTTCTTTACACTTTTTTCACTTTCTTTCTGACCACGTGAGATGCAACATGTCCGAGCCTCCGCCGCGGTCTGTGTTACATGTTTATACCCCTTAGAGGTTCAGAGCAGCAATCCCCAACGCGAAGGTTAGAGGATCGATTCCCAATTGGACCAAGTTCTGTCATTGTGTCCTTGAACAAGACACTTGACTCACATTGCCTAGCACAGGGGTGTCCAAACTTTTTTCATCAAGGGCCACATATTTAAACACAGATGAAGCAGAGGGCTGATCGAGGGCCAAAGACTGGTGCTTAGTGCAGTGAATAATTGAAATATGTGCAGGTTTAACACGTTAGAATGATCCATCAGTCTTTATTCATGCTGAGATCCTGAAAGCCACACACTAAATATTAAATATGAGCTTTCTCAAGGCAGATTTTCAATAAACTTGCAGTAAAAAGTTAAATTTTAATTGATGCAAGGTAATTTGGGCCAATTCACCTGGAAGCCTGAGGGCCAAGAAAAATTTGTCTGAGGGCCGCATTTGGCCCACGGGCCATAGTTTGGACATGCCTGGCCTAGTATGAAAGTGATGTGTGTGTGAGTGATGGGCTGTGATGGGTTGGAGGGCAGCCTCACTCGTGTCAGTCTGTCCCAGGGCAGCTGTGGCTGCAGCAGTAGCTCACCACCACACAGTTTGGTGTGAATGAATAATGACGAGTGGAGCTTTAAGAGGCTTAGACAAAGCTGTAAAGCGCATTACAAGTGTAAGACAAAAACACCAAACAGTCAAACAGACTGTCCATGTGAATGTCTGTGAATAGAATAATGTCTGAAATAAAATTAAACTTGATCACATGAATCGTCACATGTTGAGGGACTATTTTCTCATATATCAGTCCGCCGCTGTCGAGCTTTCTATCAGGAACAACAACTCACTGCTGCTGCTCAGACATAAATCCTTCAAATACAAGGTTGGTTTTACTTAGTATTATTAAGAAGTTGCCGATACGATACATACCTCGATACACAGGCCATGATACGATACATATCTCGATACAGTGAGCTTTCGATTCGATATGATATATTTGAAATCGATTTGATACGGTTCAATAAAAAATAAAGGCTAAATCATGTCTGTGATACTAAAAGTCTTTGTTAAACCACTTCTTGTGCAAAGTTCACATGAAACACAAACATTTTAATCATCAAAACAATGAAAATGTCAAATGTGTCGCATAAACAGTTTTCCTTCCTCTGAACAAGCAACAAAACCGTAGCACTGTATCAAAATAATTTAGTAAATTATACAAAAAAATACTCTTGGTGACATATCGACACAGCAGCCCACGATATCGATACTGCATCATGACATTAAACAACACGATATATCGATATTTTGATATTTTTGCACACCCCGAGTTTTACTTCTAAAATTATTCTATGGACACAGACGTTCACATGGACAGTCTGGTGTAATAATAGATTTGTTTCGGGTGTTTTGTGGAGTGGGTAAGACTGTTTTTAGTGTCAGGATAAACTATGACCATTGACCTGCACTAGTCTAACACCAGTGACCTCTGCAAATACAAGGACTGGATGGAATATTTAAAAAAGTGTCTCCACACGTCTCCAACACTCTGGATCACGAGGAAACGAGGTCCTGTGTCCAAAATTCCTCACTGTCCCTTTAAACACTGCAGCTCTATAGGAAGTCCTGCTTTTGTTATTTGATTACTGATGTTGTTTTTCCCCGTTGAAACTAAAGCTGTAATGTGATTCTCTGTCTCTGTAGGTCATAAAGGAATATGCAGCCGTGGATGTTTCGGTGGTTATAGCCGGATGCAACAGTAAGTCATTTGTTTAAAGGGAATTGGTAGCGTCAGCAGCACCTGTACCATGAGCGTTACACGGTCAATCTAATAAAGACATTAATGAGCATGCAGAGGAGGACACGGGCTAACCACTCTGCCACACTAACACACCGGTTTTTATTTGTATATTTCCGTTTCCTCAAACTACAAAAACACACTTGGAGTTGTGTTTTGTTTCATTCACACATGTTTGAGTAACTCTTTAGCTCTGTTCACACGGGAGTAGTTTGACCTGTGGACTTTTGGAGATTTGTAATAATTGCGGAGGATTCCTGAGATCTTAATCCCGTGCGAATGCGACATGTCTGTAATTTGTAAAGTAAAAATTCTGCCGCAAGTTACCTAATATATTCCGCCAAACACAAACGTCCGGTAATAATACTAGTCCCGTGCGAATCTGCATCTCAGTGAGTGTGTTCACCTGCACATCAGTGTCCCGGTTATTATTCATATCTTGGTTATGGAAGTATTCTGGTTACTGTGTTTACCTGCGCGCTGGGAAACCGGGACATATCCCTGTGTACATGATCAAATGGAGTAACCAGGTTTCTTGACGTAATCTTACAAATGTTCAAGAGCAAAAATAATACACTTAATAAACCAGGAAAAATACAAACAGCCATGAGCTCCTTTAGTGCTTCCAAACACACTGCTGCAGATTCTTAATTAAAATCTTCTGCATAAATAAACTCAACTTTATAACATATAAACATAAACACTCTAGAGCCACATCAGCCCGTTTGACATTATAATGTGTTTAATTCAGATTTGACACATTTGTTTACGTTTTACAGAAACTAAACCTAAAACTGCATGGCTCGTTTGCATAAAGTAAAAGCTCTGATAAAAAAAAAACAGCTCTTTCCCTGTGCGCTGATGTGGTTCAGCTTCTGTCGGACTAAACGACAAGACTCAGTGGAATATGAGTGTTCTTTCTGTGACAGAGGGATGTTAATGATGATGATGATGATGGTGAGTGTGTTCTGTGTGTGTGTCCTGTTGGAGATGGTTCAGACGTGTGCAGGTTTAGTGCAGCTCTTTATTTAACATCATTTCACTTTATTTATGTCGGTCACTTTATTTATTTGGCTTCTGCTGTGGTGAAAAGACTGAAAAAGTGTTTGTCTTTTGGACACATGTGACTCAACTTTATGTTGCAGTAACCGGGATACTGCGTTTACATGCACCACGACGAAACCGGGATACTCAAAAAACCGGATCATACTCGAGACACTGATGTGCTGTAAACACACTCAGTGTTTGTTTGCCTGTGTCTTATCTCTTTCTTTTCTTTCCACGTTCTTTTCTCTTTCACTCTGTGTCAATGTCGGTACAATAGAGTCGTTTAGGGACTTTGCTTATCTTGTGTGAATGTGCTGCACAAACACAGTAACACAGAGGAGTTTGATTCAGGTTTGATTCTAGTGAAAGTGTGCGGAGTTTAAAAACACAGTGGAGCACTTCCTGTATTCCCACATGACGTCACAAGGTGGAACAGAGTGGGTTTTTTTCCGTTTGAGAAATGAACTCAGTCTAAATCTGCAGAGTTTGTGTGTTAAACGTGTGAATGAAACAAACAAAAAAACAACACAACTCCAGGTCTGTTTGTGACGAGGAAACAACATTAAAACACAGATCAGAAATAATAGCCTTGTTTTTTGGACTTGCCCCAAATTGAATCAATATTGGGAGAAAATTAAACAAAACATTGATGAAACATTTAAAGTAAAGATTGAAACAAGGTCTAAACCAGGACTAGAACAGGTCTAAACCAGGTCTAGAACTGAACCAGGAATAAAACAGGTCTAAATCAGGACTAGAACCAGGACTAGAACAGGTCTAAACCAGGACTAGAACAGGTCTAAACCAGGACTAAAACAGGTCTAAACCAGGACTAAAACTGAACCAGGACTAAAACGGGTCTTAACTGGGATAACTTGAACTAAACCAGGTTTAAACCAGGACTAAGACTAAACCAGGTCTGTACCAGGACTCTGCCAGGATTAGGACTAAACCAGTACCAAACTAGGTCTAAACTGGGACATGGACTAAACCAGGTCTAAACTGGGACATGAACTAAACCAGGTCTAAACCAGGACTAGGACAGGTATGAGGAAGGCTGAAAACCATGGAAAGACTTTATTAACACCCAAACATAAATAAATAAAAATTAAAAAAAAGACAATCCCTGTGTTGTTTTTTTTTTTTTATTATTTTATTTTAATTTATTTCTTTGTATCCTTAACAGAATAAGGGAAAAAAAAAAAAAATTCAATACTATCAAAGAGAAATATGTGAAGTGAAAGAAGGATGAAGGAAGAAGAAAAAAAAAGTGAATTGTTGTACATTTGTGATTTGAAACTGCCATCTCTATTTGACTGTTAAAAAAAAAATTAGAATAAAAAAAAAGAAAAAATAGCGTGACATGTTTCCTTTAAGTGTAACCCGGTGTCTCTTCTGCCCCCTACAGGCAGCGTCCTGGACGAGCTGGAGCGATTACAGTTCTTCACGGAAATGAAAAGAAGCATATTTTTCCCCACGGTCCACGACGCCGTTTTACACTGTCGGAATTTCAACACGAGTCTCGGCGCGTCTCCGGAAACGTGTGTCTGAAATCCAGCACTGCCCACACTGGAGATTTAAAGCCACACTGTGTAACTTTTCTGTCGCCATGGAGATGTTATATCGCTTTGCCTCGAATGTCCCCAAGGTACCCAGGCCAAGTTACGCGTCAGATCTGCGGAGAGGCGGCCCCGGTCTTAAAAAGAACAGATGATAAAAGGCCGTGGAGTCGAGCGCAGCAGCGGAAAAGTTACACAGTGCAGCTTTAAATGGGCGTTTTCTTATCGGTGTGATGTTTTTGTAGTTTGAGACACTCCGAAGTCACAGCTCAGTTTATTTTTGTACAGTTCAAACGTGACATTCCTGAAGCCTTAAACCTGCTCCTGCTGTAAAACTCTTTCTCTTTGTTCACTACAACTGTTCACGACTGTGAATTATTCTGGTTTCCAAAAACGAAAAGAGCAAAGCAAAACATTTCAGGTACGAGTTTATTTTGTAGCACTAAGATACGACATTTTGTGTGTTTTGAACGCAGGACTGAACCAGGACTAAACCAGGACTGAACCAGGACTAAAACCAGGACTGAACCAGGACTAAAACAAGACTGAACCAGGACTAAACCAGGACTGAACCAGGACTAAACCAGGACTAAAACAAGACTGAACCAGGACTAAACCAGGACTAAACCAGGACTGAACCAGGACTGAACCAGGACTAAAACAAGACTGAACTAGGACTAAAACAAGACTGAAACAGGACTAAAACAAGACTGAACTAGGACTAAAACAAGACTGAACCAGGACTGAACCTGGATTGAACAAGGACTGAACCAGGACTAAAATAAGACTGAACCAGGACTAAACCAGGATTGAACCAGAAATAAACCAGGACTAAAACAAGACTGAACCAGAACTGAATCAGGACTAAAAGCAAGACTGAAAACGGACTAAAATAAGATTGAACCAGGACTGAACCCAGACTAAACCAGAGCTGAACCAGGACTAAAACAAGATTAAAACAAGACTAAACCAGGACTGAACCAGGACTAGACCTGGCCTGAACTAGGACTGAACCAGGACTGAACCAGGACCGATTCAGGACTGAACCAGGAATGAACAAGGACTAAACCAGGACTTAAACAAGACTGAAAAAGGACTAAAATAAGATTGAACCAGGACTGAACCCAGACTAAACCAGGACTAAAACAAGACTGAAACAAGCCTAAACCAGGACTGAACCAGTTCTAAACACGGTACTACTCGGTCTGTTTGAAACTCTAACGTCGCTTCGTCCCAGATCGATGTCCGTTCATTTAAAGCAACGGTACAGTTCCAAGATGGCGGCCTTGTTGACACGTTTGTTCCGGTCGTCACGGCGACATGTACAGTTCTAGAACACAAAGAGAAAGAGCCCGGCCCGATCTGAGCGTCGACATGTGAAATATTTTAGAGCTGCACTTTATTTTTGTCTGAGAACAGAGCAAACTATTTTTATTTAAGTCGAAATGTTGCTGAACTCGTCGTGTTTTGGTGTTTTTGTGAGTTTGTGAAATGTGGCTGTATTTAAGTGTCAAATATGTAAAAACAGGACCAAAGGTTACAAGATTTCACATGTTTTTAATGTTTTTAATAGAGAAAAAAAAAAAAAACAAAACAAACGCACTTTAATTTAGTGCCACGACTGAAAACCTGTTACATCCTCTAATGTTAGACCAGAACTAGAACTGAACCAGGACTAAAACAGGTCTAAACCAGGACTAGAACTGAACCAGGACTAAAACAGGTCTAAACCAGGACTAGAACTGAACCAGGACTAGAACTGAACCAGGACTAGAACTGAACCAGGACTAAAACAGGTCTAAACCAGGACTAGAACTGAACCAGGACTAGAACTGAACCAGGACTAAAACAGGTCTCAACTGGGATAACTTGAACTAAATCAGGTCTAAACCAGGACTAAACAAGGTCTAAACCAGGACTAGGACTAAAACAGGTCTAAACCCAGGACTAAAACTGAACCAGGACCAGAACTGAACCTGGACTAAAACAGGTCTTAACTTGAACTAAACCAGGTCTAAACCAGGACGAGGACTAAACCAGGACTAAACCAGGTCGATACCAGGACTCTACCAGAACTAAAACAGGTCTAAATTCGGACTAGGACTAAACAAGGTCTAAACCAGGACTAGAACTGAACCAGGACTAGAACCGAACTAGGACTAAAACAGGTCTAAACTGGGACATGGACTTAACCAGGTCTATACCAGGACTCTGCTAGGACTAAGACTAAATCAGGTCTGTCCCAGGACTCTTCCAGGACTAGAACTAAGCAAGGACTAAAACAGGTCTAAACTGGGACTAGGACTAAACCAGGACTCTTCCAGGACTAGGACTAAATGAGGACTAAAGCAGGTCTAAACTGGAACTAGGACTAAACCAGGTCTAAATCAGGTCTAAATCAGGACTAGGACTAAACCAGGTCTATACCAGGACACTGCCAGGACTAGGACTAAACCAGGACCAAACTAGGTCTAAACTGGGACTAGGACTAAACCAGGACTAGGACGAAACTAGGTCTGTACCAGGAGTCTTCAAGGACTAGGACTAAACCAGGACCAAACTAGGTCTAAACTGGGACTAGGACTAAACCAGGTCTGTACGAGAACACTGCCAGGACTAGGACTAAACCAGGACTAAACCAGATCTAAATCACTACTAGGACTAAACCAGGTCTAAAGCAGGACTAAATCAGGTCTAGGACTAAACCAGGTTTAAACCAGGTCTAAACCAGGACTGGGACTAAACCAGGACTAAAACTGGTTTGAAACACAACTAAGGCTGAGTTCATTTGACCTGGTTTAGTCCTGGTTTAGTTAGTCCTGGTTTAGTCCTGGTTTAGTCCCAGGTTTGATGTTACACTACAGTAAATTTAAACCGGACGACACCAGGACTAAACCAGGATTATCCTTGATCTGGAACGTGACTGAACCAGGAATAATCCGGACTGAACCTGGACTAAAACAGGTCTAAACCCGGACTAACGAAGAAAATAACAACCATTTAGCGTAAAAGAACTTGACGAGTCCTTTTCTGACGCGCCGTTACGTGAAGTCCTTTTAAAATCTTCAATCCTGTACTGTATATTTATTGCTTTTGGTAAAAAAAACTACAACTACGGCAGCCTCAGAGGGTCAAAAATCGTTCACTTTCAAATACAGCCATTCTTCAAAACCTCTGAACGTGCTTTATATTTTGACAGATTGTGGAGGCGCGTGTGGCGACGCTCGGACACGAAATATCTGCAGAATATTTTTGTATGAATTTTGATTTAAGTTTGAGTTTTAGTGTCAAAACGCTGAGAATTCAAAAGTGCAGAAGTTTATCCACTGCTCAAAAATGACAAGAATCCATTTTGTGTAATTTAAGATCTTTAAGTTTAGTGTCATCTTTGCTCCTTTAATACATGCATCCTGAATTTCAAACTTCCGGTCGTCGCGCAATCCAACCTGGGAAGGGTTTTCCAAAAAAGTGAGCATCAAACCTCCATGTTTGTTTTCCCAGTGGGATGTGTCTATTGACAAAGTCGATCTTTTCAAGTCTTTTGAACCATATCACTTTTGTTTCTGGTTCTGATATTGTCATATTTTAGTTTTGGGATTCGGACATCGTAGTTGTGTGGTTGTTGGATCCTAACAGCGGAAAACAGCTCGAGAAATTTGTTTGCGAACTCCATAAATGCAAAAGGGAATAAGATGTGTGTGACTGTAAACCTCTGTTCAAACTGTTTCTCTTCCCAACGGAATTGAAAAATAGTGAAAGGTGAAGGTGATGGGCAGGATTGATCCACAGGAAGAACCAAAAAGGAAACATTTGTCTGACTAAGAAATCATCCTGAGTTTACAGAGAACATTTTGTATGTGGAGCGACGACAAAACAAAATCCCGTTTGTTAATCGAGAGGTGCAGAAGACAAACAGACTGAGCTGCACTTTCTTGTAGAGCCCGACCGATATGGATTTTGTTGTGGCCGATATGATATCGATAAAATGGGAGTTGGAGCTGCCGATATATTTGATGTAAAAATTCACTGTAAATCTTGACTTGATTAAAAAACTTAGGTTTGGATCTAGTGGATTTTAAATTGGGTTTATTTAGGCAACATTTATTGTTATTCTGACTCTTTACGTCATATTTACAGACAGAAGGTCGGACTATTGGCATTTTGCATCACATTCTAGCAGCTAGTGATGGGTGTTCCAGTTCTTTTTAGAGAACCAGCTCTTTTGGCTCGGCTCACTAAAAGCAGTTGGCTCTTTCGGCTCTACAGATTGTTTTGTTGCAAGCAGGATTAAACCAGGTCTAACCAGGTCTAAACCAGGTCTAAACCAGGTCTAAACCAGGTCTAAACCAGGACCGAAAAAGGACTAATCCAAAACTGATCCAGGACTGAGTGTCAGGACTCGGTCTCTATCTCTCTCCGTCTCTCGAGCCCAAAATTAATCCTAGTTTATTTATTTTATGCTGAACTACAGCCAAACATGCAAGTTTTTTCTATCCTATGCACACGCAGATAATATCGGCCAACCGATATATCGGTCGGGCTCTAGTTTGTTTTAAAGTCGTTTTAGATCAATATTTCAATTTAAAATGTCCAACCTAAAACATAATGATCCTCGGGTGTCAAAGATGATAAAACAGACAAAAGCACTGGGTTGCAGGTCTAAAGCAAGTCTGAACCAGGACTAAAACAGATCTAAACCATGTAAAACAGTCCTGGTTCAGTTCTGGTTTAGTCCTGAGTGTCGGGACTCGGTCTCTATCTCTCTCCGTCTCTCAAGCCCAAGATTAGTCCAGGTTTATTTATTTTATGCTGAATTGCAGCCAAATATGCAAGTTTTTTCTCTCCTCTGCACGCGCAGATTTCTGAACGTTTCAAGTCCCACGAGTCTGCACGCGACGTGAAGAGAAAAAAAAAAGTGAAAGTGAGAGAAAGAGAAAACACGGCTCTCAATAAGGAGAACCAGAAACAAAAGCGATATGGTAAAAAACAACAAAAAAAACTTGAAAATCGACGCATCCCACTGGAAGATCAAACATGTTGGTTTGATGTTCACTTTTTCGGTTGATCCTTCCCAGTGTGGTTTGCGCGATGACGGACGTTCTAAATTCAGGATGCTTGTATTCTCCGCTGTCAACGTTACTGTGGTGAAGAAACTGATTATTTCTACATGACGTTACTGAGAGGCCTTCTGCACTGTTCTCACACATTAAATATTTACTCAGAAAAAACTGTTGAATAAACTTTATTTTTAAGCAACAACAACAAAATCCAGACTGAATTTTCTGCTTCGGAGACAAAAAGGACAAAGGTTTTTAATTGTAGGTCATGTATCTCGGAGTCGCGCTGAACTTGGCGTAAGATTTGATGACTTTGTTGACGGCCTCCAGGAAATCCTTCTCTGTGGCGATTTTTCTTCTGGCTCGAATCGCGAACATCCCGGCTTCTGTGCAAACGCTGCGGATCTCAGCACCTGCCAGGACGACGGAGAGAGAGAGAGAGGTCAGGAGAAGAAGAGAGAGACAGGAGGAGGAGGAGGAGGAGGAGAAGAGAGAGACAGAGGAGGAGGAGGAGAAGAAGAGAGAGACAGGAGGAGGAGAAGAGAGAGAGAGACAGAGGAGGAGGAGGAGAAGAGAGAGACAGAGGAGGAGGAGGAGAAGAGAGAGACAGAGAGAGGAGAAGAGAGAGAGAGAGACAGAGGAGGAGAGAAGAGAGAGAGAGAGACAGAGAGAGAGAGAGAGAGAGAGAGAGAGAGGAGGAGGAGAAGAGAGAGACAGAGGAGGAGGAGAAGAGAGAGAGAGAGACAGAGGAGAAGAAGAGAGACAGAGGAGGAGGAGAAGAGAGAGATGAGGAGGAGAAGAGAGAGAGAGAGACGAGGAGGAGAAGAGCGAGGTCAGGAGAAGAGAGAGAGACAGGAGGAGGAGGAGAAGAGAGAGACAAGGAGGAGGAGGAGAAGAGAGACAGGAGGAGGAGGAGAAGAGAGAGACAGAGGAGGAGGAGAAGAGCGAGGTCAGGAGAAGAAGAGAGAGGATGAGAAGAAAAAAAGAGACGAAAAGAAGGAGACACAGGAGGATGAGACTCAGACCTGTGCTGTTGGGGCAGAGTCGTGCGAGCAGCTCAAAGCGGATGTCTCTCTCCACACTCATGGAGCGAGCGTGGATCTTAAAGATGTGAGTTCGTCCCTGAAGAAGAAAAACAAAACAACATCAGGCATAAATAAACTGCACATGTGACATTTTTAACACCAGTTTAATCCACAAAACATTCACCTCAGTGTCACAACTGGAACCCACATTTTACACCCAAATGTAACAGAGCCTGAGCGCAGCAGCACACGAGTGCAGAGCTCGGGGAAAGATGCGTGATGAACATGGAAACTTTACACCCACAAAGGATAAATTGGCGGCACGGTGGCTGAGTGTCTAGCACTCATGCCTCACAGCAAGAAGGTTCCAGGTCGCCCGGGCCTTTCTGTGTGGAGTTTGCATGTTTCTCCCCTGTGTCTGGATGGGTTTTTTCTGTCTGCTCCGGTTTCCCCCATCAACCCAAAACATGACACAGGTCTCCAGAACAGTTGATAGTCAAGGTCAGTTAGACGACAGGTGGAAATTAACACTGATGCTACAACCTGATGTACAATGCATCTCTCTTGTTAAGGTTAATGCAAAAATTGTGTGCTGTCCCTGTCTCAAATAAATAAATATAATACTAATATAACACTTAACGACATCAAACAGAAACATTACAAGAACAACTTCTGAAGGAAAAAGTGCGCGGAGCAACGACCAAAGTGAAATGGAGAGGAGCTTCATTAATGCAGCACCACAGAAACGCTCTCTTTGTTTGGATGAATTCTGTTTTAAATCACAAATCAACAATGAAAACATAAATAATGTAAAAAGTTTAGTGACAATCCACACAGTCTGACGTCACAGCAGCAGCTCTGTTGCCTCTGGTGTAAATTGAAGTTTTTAAAAGTGCACCTGTGTGCAGCTCTGTCAACGACAGATGTGCCTGACGCTCCTGGGGTGAATTCCAGGTAAGACTCAAGTGTCTGTAAAATCATTAGAACCTTCATCCATTTTATTATACACCTAGTTAGTTTGTCCAGTCAAAAAACTGAATTTTCTCCTCACCTGGACGACTGAGGGATTCTTCACACTAATTTATCAAGGTAAACTGAAAAGTTATAATTGTGGAGAAACATCTGGATATAAAAGTGGATTTAAAGAGAAAATTAAATAAAAACGACACATTTCAGATGATGCGGTTTGTATTTGGTGTTGTCAGTGTGTGAAGATCCTGGAGGTGCAGAGGAAACGACCAGACTTCCTTAAAAATGTCTGAACTAAAGAGTCTAAACTTGAGCAGGGCTGGGACGTGTTGGGACTTGGAGGGAGATACCGGGAAAACCAGGAGCTACGATGAGACGGCAGAGACAGAAACTGTTGTTGTGTCCTTAGGCAAGACACTTCACTTACATCACCCCCGTTTGAACGCTCCGGGGGAAACTGAAGCAACTCTGAGTAAAAAAACAAACAAAACCCTGGCCTTCCTCGTGTCTCACCTCGAGGTCGGGGAGGCTGAACTCGATCTTCCGGTCCAGTCGTCCCGGTCTCATCAGCGCCGGGTCCAGAGTGTCCGGGCGGTTTGTGGCCATCAGGACTTTGATGTTTCCTCTGGGGTCGAACCCGTCGAGTTGGTTTATCAACTCCAACATCGTCCTCTGCACCTCGTTGTCCCCGCCCGCCCCGTCGTCAAAACGAGCTCCTGCACCAGACCAACACCACAACAAACACGGATCAGGTCTGGGGCTGGGTCCTACTGGGTCCGAGTCCAGTCCGAGTCCAGTCCGAGTCCAGTCCGAGTCCAGTCCGAGTCCAGTCCGAGCGGGACTAAATCCAGGCTTAGTCCAGTCCTAGCGGGTCTGAATCCTAGCGGGTCTAAGTCCGGGTCCAGTCCTAGTGGGTCTGGGTCCTAGTCCAGTCCTAGTCCAGTCCTAGTCCAGTCCTAGTCCAGTCCTAGTCCAGTCCTAGTCCAGTCCTAGTGGGTCTGGGTCCTAGTTCGAGTCCGAGTCCAGTCCTAATGGGTCTGGGTTCGGGTCTGGGTCCGAGGCCGAGTCCAGTTCTAGTCCAGTCTTAATGGGTCCGGGTCCAGTCCTAGTCCAGTCCTAGTGGGTCTGGGTCCGAGTCCGGGTCCGAGTCCGAGTCCAGTCCGAGTCCAGTCCTAGTGGGTCTGGGTCTGAGGCCGAGTCCAGTCCTAGTCCAGTCCTAGTCCAGTCCTAGTCCAGTCCTAGTCCAGTCCAGTCCTAGTCCAGTCCTAGTCCAGTCCTAGTGGGCCCGAGTCCAGTCCGAGTCCGAGTCCAAGTCCAGTCCTAGTGGGTCTGAGTCCTGTCCGAATTTGGTCCTAGTCTGGTCCGGTCTCAGTCCTGTCCCTGGTCTAGTCGGGTCCGAGTCCGGTCCCTGGTCTAGTCGGGTCCGAGTCCGGTCCCTGGTCTAGTCCGGTCTCAGTCCAGTCCCTGGTCTAGTCCGGTCTCAGTCCAGTCCCTGGTCTAGTCCGCTCTCAGTCCAGTCCCTGGTCCAGTCCCTGGTCTAGTGCGGGTCCAGTCCTGTCGTGTTGTTTCGTTGTCGTTTTGCGTCTTCGTGTCTCAAACCTCCGATGGCGTCGATTTCGTCAAAGAAGATGAGGCAGGCCTTCTTCGTACGCGCCATTTCAAACAGCTCCCGGACCATCCTCGCCCCCTGCAGGCAGAACAACGCCACTGCATCACTCACAAAACTAAACTGAATTATTATCAAACTTTTGGGACTTTTAGGACCAAACTAAACATGTTAATCTATGTTTGTGCATCTGTCTCTATTCAAATAAACAATAAACAATAAATAAATAAAGTTTTGCTCACCTCTCCCACATATTTCTGCACGAGCTCGGAGCCGATGACCCTGATGAAGCAGGCGTCGGTGCGGTTGGCCACGGCTCGAGCGCACAGAGTTTTACCGGTGCCTGGAGGTCCAAAAAGCAGAACGCCTTTGGGAGGCTCGATGCCCAGGTTCACAAAACGCTCCGGCTGCAGAGAGACGAGAGGATCATGTTTCAGATTGAACTTAGGCATCATGGGTAAGAGGAAAACTTTGTGTCGTGTGTGTGCTCAAAACTCGAAACTTTTACCCTGAAAAAATAAATAAAATCTATTCTTAAAGATGCACTGTGTAACCTTTCTGGAACATAACCTGGTTGTGTCCATTAAGGCGGGGTATTGTTAAGAAGTTGCCGATACAATATAAACCTCGATACAGTGAGCTTTCGATTCGATATGATATTTTTTTAATTGAACCACATCGATTTAAAATGTAAGGGCTAAATCATGTCTGTGATATTAAAAGTCTTTGCACAAGAAGTGGTTTAACAAAGTTAATATGAAACACAAATATTTTAATCATCAAAACAGAGAAAATGTCAAATGTGTCGCATAAATGTGTCGCAAAACTGTAGCTGTAACAAAATAATTCAGTAAAACACAGACATGAAAAGGAGTCAGGGGTGAAAAAGGTGAGAAGAGTGCGTGAGGGGCGACGTATATATCAATGTTTTTATAAATATCCCCCATTCTATCTGATTAATCTTCATTTAGACTTAAAATAAGCCAAGCAATCTGTACTGTCCTCTAAATCTGTGCCCCTTTTTGAACCCTCACCCACAGTTTGAGAAACTCTGCTTTAAGAGAACTTCCACTTTACTGCTTCAAATTGAAGAAAGTGTGTGGGCTTCCTAAGTTCAAACTGGAGTTACTTTCTCTTACAGGTTTTACAGTTGGATTTAACCTCTGCACATTTAACAAACCAAACGCACATCGTGGCAACAGATTTATTTGGCAAACTTCAGCCACATATCACAGTAGGACCTCCTCCCGCGTGCGGCAGGACCTCCTCTGTGTGCAGTAAGCTCGCTCTGTGCCAACACTGCAGTATTCATTTTGCCCGTGACAACAAGACTGAGCTCAAATGCGCTCGAGTCTGAGACGAGACCAAGACCCCCCCTCCCCAAAATGTTTTTCATCGAATCTTCACGATTCTCGTAGGTCACCGATTTTGGCTTCAAAAGACTCAGATTTTCATGCCTGAAAATCTGCCAAAAAAAATACTCGAGTGATATATCGATATATATCAGCCCACAATATTGATACTGTATCATCACATTAAACGATACGATATATTGATATTTTTGCACACTCCTAGTGTCCATGGCGATATGCTGGGGAGACTGTTTTCCCTGGAAAGTGCCACAGTATGGCATTAAACGTGCTTATTATTTCATTAGAGGTGTTTTTTTTTTTTTTTTTTTACAATACAACAATATTTTGAAAAATCTGCCTTCTACTGTCAGTGGGCCCATCACTCCACAGATCAGACCTGTCAATTGGCTTGGTGCTCGTCTCTGTGGAAAGTTTTATATCAAAATGTGAAAAATTTCGGGCAAAGCAACATCTCCATGGTGGTAAAGTTACACAGCGCAGCTTTAAATTAAGCTAAACAAAGATAAACTGAACAGACCCTCAGACTGAAATGGGCAGTAAATGTTTTTTTCATCTCAAATAATTTATGAAATATTTTGCTGCTGTTAACTTTTAAAAAGGAGCAGGTAGAGGCAGGTGCAGGTCATCACAGCGGTAAAGCACAATCACATTTAAGAACTCAATGATAAACTCACGTGGAGCAGTGGAGTCTCAACCACTTCTCTGAGCTTTTCAATCTGTTCTTTACATCCTCCAACGTCGCTGTAGGTCACGTCAGGTTTCTCCTCCACCTGCAAAAACACAACAAACACATGATCAGGACTAAAGAATTATCACACAGTGTCTTCATTTTAACTTAAACAGAGAAGATAAAGCACAAAGTTCCCAGAGCCTGTCCCCGTCCCTCAGACTGCACCTGCATCATGGTGACCGTGGGGTCGATCTTCGGAGGCAGAGGAATGTGGATCTGGTATTTGTTTCTGTCGACACTGAAAGAAAAAAGAAGTATTTTTTTTAGATGGCAAAAAATTCCAGTAGTACAGAGTGATACAAGAAATCACATTTGTTTTTTATATTCAAACCACTGACATTGTATTAATCTTACATGTGCTGTGATGTTTTAGTGCAGACATGTCAGTCAATCTGGCCCAAGATATAATTATATTTGGTCTGCGAGATGATATCAAATCTGTATTAAAGCTGCCCACCAGCTACAGATAGACAATATTTATTTAAAATGTTATTATTTTATATTTTGCTTGTTCTGGATTCAATGTTTAAGCAAAACTATTATTAAACATTTATTTTAATAAGAAAAGGTTTAACATTACAGATCTCAAAAGAAGAGAAAACATGCAGATGTTGGTCAAATTTTTCAATAAATATTTATTTTAACCCACGACTTAGTCCCAGTTTTTAATTTTGACCTCTGTGAATTTGAGTTTGACTCTCCTGTTTTAGTAGATCATCTAAACTTTGGAGGAAATTGTCCAAAGAACTGAGGAAACTACACATATTTATATATTTGTAAAATGTATTGTAATCAGTTTAGTATTATTATGGCAGTGTATTATGCATTTACAGGATTAGAGGTGTGCAAAAATATTGAAATATCGATATATCGTATTGTTTATTGTGAAGATACAGTATCGATATCGTGGGCTGCTGTATTGATAACATCACCAAGAGTATTTTTTTGGTATATTTTACAAAATTATTTTGTTACAGCTACAGTTTTGTTGTTTGTTCAGAGGAAGGAAACTCATTTATGCGACACGTTTGACATTTTCACTGTTTTGATGATTAAAATGTTTGTGTTTCATATGAACTTTGCAGAAGAAGTGGTTTAACAAAGACTTTTAGAATCACAGACATGATTTAGACTTTATTTGTTATTGAGCTGTATCGAATCGATTTAAAATACACATCAATGCAATACACATTGAATCAAAAGTGCACTGTAACGAGATATGTATCGTATCGACAACTTCTTAATGATACTCAGCTTTAAACACCAACATGAGTAGAAACTAATATAAATCCCAATATAAAAAAAACCCACAACACACAGAAGAAAAAAAGGAAAGTGTTTTCACTCACCCGACCCTCATTCCCTCCTCGATGTCGGTGGGCGCCACCTGGTCGCTCAGATCCACCACAAACTTTGCGAACTGTTTCACATTGATGATGTATTTGGGGTCTTCAGAGTCGGCGTTGATGATTTTTGTGCATCTGAAAAACAAGAAAATAAACAGACATTTTTGCCAACCGTTTCAGTATCATTTTGTTCACTTTTTTTCCCGTTTTTACACATTTACAAGGTCATTTATGTCTTTTTTTTCTCCCCTCAAAGCCATCACTTTATTTTGGATGGAATTGCTGATAGTTGAGAACAAATGTAGAGGTATTTTTTTGTTTTTCTGGCTGGTTAAAGTTAATAAAAAAACATTTGACACTAAAGAAGAAACCCAGATAAAAATATCCAGTGTTTCCTAATGACAGAGACGCCCACGGCCACCCCCCCACTTTAACTTTAACTCTGCCCCCTGTCGTTTCCGTGGTAACCTGAGTAATACTGCATGTACCTGGCCACCTGCAGCGGCTGCTCGCTCTGCAGAGTCTGTTTGTCTGCGGCCAAGTCCCACAGCGCCGGAGGAGCCAGACCCGTGTCCGACTCTTTAATGCCTGAAGAGAAACAACAGAAGTCTGAATGTGGAGTGTCAGGAGAATGTGTGTTTCATTTGTTCATTCATTTTTCAATATAAAACCAAAAATAAGAAAACAAAAAACACAACTCTTTTCTTCATTATTTGTCTCCAAAACCAAAATGAAAAAACGGATAACGACCGTTTCCGAATAAAATCAGGACTGAACCAGGACTGAACCATTTTCAGTCCCTGTCTCAGTCCCTATCCTAGTCCTGGTCCGGTCCTGTTCCTGGTCTCAGTCCTGGTCCTGGTCCGGTCCTGTTCCTGGTCTCACTGGTCCTCCTGGTCTCAGTCCTGGTCCGGTCCTGTTCCTGGTCTCAGTCCTGGTCCGGTCCTGTTCCTGGTCTCAGTCCTGGTCCGGTCCTGTTCCTGGTCTCAGTCCTGGTCCGGTCCTGTTCCTGGTCTCAGTCCTGGTCCGGTCCTGTTCCTGGTCTCAGTCCTGGTCCGGTCCTGTTCCTGGTCTCAGTCCTGGTCCGTCCGTCCTGGTCTCTGTCCTGGTCTCAGTCCTGGTCTGGTCCGGTCCTGTTCCTGGTCTCAGTCCTGGTCCGGTCCAAGTTTGTTAAACTTGTTCTGTTCTGTTGTTTATGTTATAGTTTATCTGAAGAACTGTTCATATGTGACGTTAACAGTCTGTTGTTCTCTCTTCTATTGTTTTTACTAGAACTTGACTTGACTCAAGATAAAATGTCTGCTCCTGGTTTCTGATTTTATAAAATACATTTCCCCCAAAAAGTGCGACTCATAGTCCGGAAAATATGGTACTTATTTTTCTATTTTATTTTCACTTGCACATATTCAAATATATTTATGTTTTACCTGACATGTGAGTCTTGCTCTTTTTTACTACTTATTTAGAATTTATTATTATATATTTATTATTTATATTTTTTGCTCTTTGTTATTATTTTATATTGTGATGTGTGAGCTACTGTGTTCATATAATTAATGTTGTGGATCAGTAAATTTTTTCTAAGTCTAAAATTAGTCATAAATAAAAACCATAAATAGGGCACAAATATGGCAACAGAGCAATAATGCACTGGAGTTATAGAACATATAATATTACTATTGTAGCCAGAGCTGCCCTGGGACAGACTGACAGAACACGATTTGGAAATGAAACTTTTCAACAACTTCTTAACCTCATCCAGACTAGAACCTGAATGCATCAACACTTGGCTTTTCTAGAACAAAAAACATAATTTTTAAACTTGAGAATCTGGATCTCAGAGTCATTGGTCCTGGTTTCTCACCTGTGAGTTCATTGATTTTCTTGAGCAGCTGCTGAATGTCGTCTTCCACTTGTTTGATTTGCCTCGAGTACGTGCTCTGACCCTGCGCAAGGACAAGGAGCAAGTTTAGAAGTTGTAAACATAAATACAGCCACATTCAGACAACCACACATTTATAAATCCAGAAGAGGTTATGGTTTAGTTTCTTTCTAATATGTAAACACCAGGCCGTGTGAACTATATCAAGTCTGTCAGATTATATTAGCTCCAAGTCTAGGGGGACCAAATTTTCAAAATAAAAAACCGGGACAGACGCGCCAGAAAATAAAGTATTGTTTGTGCATACTCCAAATTAAACGTTCATTCACGTTACTTGTTTTTTTTTCCTCCCTACATTTAAAAATTGCACTGCAGCCCGATTGAGTTTACCAAAAAAAAAAAAAAAATAGGCTAATGAAATTTAAGACCTTTGTGAAAAATATGACAGGTTTGTAAAATATTCGGCGCAATGACTTTAAACAGTTCAACACTGTAGAAATCTTATATAAACCCTGTATAGACTGTTGTGTTTTGGAAAATCTGGAGCTCTGGAGTTGATGAATTGTGCATTGAATTTTGTTTGTTTTAATTTATATTTTGTCTCTTATATGTACAGTGTGTGGAGTTGTTAATGCAAATTTGTTGTGAAAAAATATAAATATATATATTTATGTGGCAGTAGCTCAGTTGGTAGAGCATTCACCCACTGATCTGAAGGTTGGCGGTTCGATTCCAGCTCTCAACATAAACATCACAGGTTGAGCGGTCAGATCCACTGACCCACAGGTTGGCTGGTGTGATTCCAGCTCCCACAGATGAATGCTGTCTTTGTGTCCTTGGGCAAGACACTTAACCCACCTTGCCCACAGTGTCTGTGTACACTGGTGTGTGAATGGGTGAGTGGTTCCTTGTTGTAAAGCGCTTTGAGTGCCTTGAAGGTGGAAAAATGCGACCATTTATATATATATATTTTTTTTAAAAGTACTTACATATGTTTTCAGGAGGGCGATATCTCCTTCATCCAAAGCTGAAAGACACAATAACATGAATGAGTTTGCACTCTGACAAGGAAGAAGGGCCTCAGGAGGTTAAATGTTCATAAAATGACATGTTAAAAATCATAAAAATAAAAAATAAAACTGTATTTCTCTATTTAATGCTCGTGAGGTTGAAATAAGTATTTATCCAGAGCAATTTAAAAACATAATTAAGAGTTATGAACAGCGTTGACATGATTTAGCTCAGATGCTGCCGCTAAAAACCAATAATATACAACTTTTAAAGCTTTATATCTCAGTTTATTTACCTCTGATGGGCCCGTCATCTTTCTCTTCTTCCTTTATCTTCCTCTGATCGTCTCCTAAATAATCTGGCATCTTTAAAATGTGTAAAGTTTATCCCAAAAAGAAACAAACCCGAGAAGCTGCTGAGGCTAACTTCACCGGAGCATTACACAGCAGCTTTGCACTTCCGCTAACAGGCACCGACAACCGGAAATACACGTCGGACGTTTTATCACGGAGCACAGTTTAGCGAAATTAATTTACAAATATTAATTTAATCGCTATAAAAATAACACATTTTATATAATTTAGGGACTTTTATTTTAATTGTAAACATAATAAAAGCGTAAAGACGTATTTTATTTTATGTTTGTATCTTACTAAAATTATTAATACACGAGTCACAGCAATATAAAAATTTCTTGGTATAAATAATGAATAATTACTGATAGTCATTCATAATAAAATAAACAATTAATGTGAATTCCATTGCGATATTTGAGATGAACAAATTTAGAAGTCCGCTGTTACAATAATAATACTTCCTCATTTTTATTTTTATTTTATTTTTTTTATGTATTTATTTTTGGGCAAATAAGTGAAATCATAATAGAAATGAAAATAAACGCAAAAAAATAAAATAAAATAAAATAAAAAAAAATATTTTAAATCATTGCCTAAAAAAAATCATTGTCCGCCAAAAAAATCATTATTATTATTATGGTTATTATTATTAAAATAGTATGTAATAAATATACAAATAATTAAAACTACTATTAAAAAAATAAATAAATAAAAATCTGCCCGAAAGCGGAACCTTCGTTCGGCGCCTGACAGCCACTTTCCCTCTCCGCTGTATCAGGCCCATGTGGTTCGCAGAGAAGGAGCGGGCCGCACACTTTAGCACTTTACGAAGTCTTCTCTGGATCGACTCCGCTCTTGAATGTTCGTGAAAAAGGGCGGATTAAAATGTTGTTAGAAGCGCAGGACGGGGAGCAGACGGAGGTGTTTGCAGCCGCGGCAGGTGAGGGTTTAAACGGGCTAAAGACGCAGAGCTAGTCCGGCTATTTGTAATGGGACAACACCGGCTTCGGGTTCAAATGACACTCGGGTTCTGGATCATATTTGGAGATATTTATTTATTTATTTCAATAATCTGCTCCAATACTGTACGGATATTAAATTACACTACACTCTTGCATATGTGATTATAGCAATAATTTCTGTTATTTATGATCCAGTTTATGATAAAATATTCTCTCCATGTTCATCAGTAGGTGGGGGACCCTCTATCAGAAAACACCTAGTAGATCTTTAATCACAATTGTTGGTCCCAGGGCCCAAACAGGTCCGAACCAGGTCTAAACTAGGTCCAAACCAGCTCTAAACTAAGTTCAAACTAGGTCCAAACCAGGTCTAAAGCAGGTCCAAACCTGGTTTGAACCAGGTCCGAACCAGGTATAAACTAGGTCCAAACCAGGTCCAAACCAGGTCTAAACTAGGTCCAAACCAGCTCTAAACTAGGTCCAAACCAGGTCTAAACTAGGTCCAGACCAGCTCTAAACTAGGTCCAAACTAGGTCCAAACCAGGTCCAAACCAGGTCTACACTAGGTCCAAACTAGGTCCAAACCAGGTCTAAACTAGGTCCAAACCAGGTCTAAACCAGGTCCAAACCAGGTCCAAACCAGGTCTAAACTAGGTCCAAACCAGGTCTAAACTAGGTCCAGACCAGGTCCAAACTAGGTCCAAACTAGGTCTAAACTAGGTCCAAACCAGCTCTAAACTAGGTCCAAACTAGGTCCAAACCAGGTCTAAACTAGGTCCAAACCAGGTCCAAACTAGGTCCAAACCAGGTCCAAACTAGGTCCGAACCAGGTCCAAACCAGCTCTAAACTAGATCCGAACCAGGCCTAAACTAGGTCTAAACTAGGTACAAACTTGGTCCAAACTGGGTCTAAACTAGGTCCAAACTGGGTCTAAACTAGGTCCAAACAGGTCCAAACCGGGTCCAAACTAGGTCCGAACCAGGTCCAAACCAGCTCTAAACTAGGTCTGAACCAGGCCTAAACTAGGTCTAAACTGGGTCTAAACTAGGTACAAACTTGGTCCAAACTTGGTCTAAACTGGATCTAAACTGGGTCCAAACCAGGTCCAAACCGGGTCCAAACTAGGTCTAAAACTAGGTCTAAACTGGGTCTAAACCGGGTCCAAACCAGGTCCAAACCAGGTCCAAACCAGGTCCAAACCAGGTCCAAACCAGGTCCGAACCAGGTCCGAGCCAGCTCTAAACTAGGTGTAAACTAGGTCCAAACCAGGTCCAAACCAGGTCTAAACTAGGTCTCGGGTTCTGGATGATTTCTGGACATATTTCAAGCTCCTACGGGGTAATTAAGTTGTGTTTTTGGACTAAACTGTCCTTGATCGTGTCTGCTTTACATAATGTTGTGGAGCAGGTGGCAGCTGGGGGCAGATGTCCCTCATATGTTCATATGACTGTGTCCAAAATTACTTCACAGCATTTCACTCTGTACTTCATGTATTTAAGATAAACATGAATGGTTTTTAATTTAACTCAGTGATTGGAATAAATTAAACAGCCAGAGACAAGTCATATGTAATCACCAAACTCATACAGCGTTAATTGTTTATTTTTGTATGTAAGTACTAGGTAACAAAAGTTTATAATATCTGTAAAGTCTAGAAATAATAATTTAGATATATTTAAATATGTCCTAATACTGGCTGTAAAATGTTACTCCCAGAAATAAAAGTAGGAAAAAATAAAGCAGAGAAATAATAATAATCAATAATCTGCTCCAATATTATATGGATATAAAATTACATTACACTCTTGCATAATTGCTGTTATTTATGATCCAGTTTATGAAAAAATACCCTCTCCATGTTCATAAGTATGTGGGGGACACTTAGTAGATCTTTAATCGCATTTGTTGTTACACCATGTTGTCTGTGCTGTAAACTGAGTCTCTTTGTATTTGTGGAGTCATTCTGAAAATTTCTAACCCTGTCGTTTAAACCTCTTCAAACAGGTTCTGAAGTATGTGTGTCATTTGTTTGACTTTAGCAGTTACGATGTTTTAAAACCCTGTCTCTGTTGTGTCCACTGTTCATGCAGCTGCAGGGTGAGTTAATAAAATTTAAAACCTTTTCAGTGCTGGGGAATAGAGTCAATACCCAACACAGATTCCAATAACACTCTTTATTTAGTGCAGGAGAGTCAAACTCAAATTCACAGAGGCCAAAATTAAAAACTGGGACTAAGTCGTGGGCAAAACTAAATATTTATTGAAAAATTTCAACAGCATCTGCATGTTTTCTCTTCTTTCGAGATCTGTAATGTTAAACCTTTTCTTATTAAAATAAATGTTTAATTATAGTTTTGCTTAAACATTGAATCCATAACAAGCAAAATATAAAATAATAACAACATTTTAAACAAATAATGATCTCGTGGGCCAAATTTGGCCCCCAGGCCTGAGTCTGACATGTTTGATTTAGACCAGGGGTGTCCAAACTTTTTTCATCAAGGGCCACATATCTAAATACAGATGAAGCAGAGGGCTGATCGAGGGCCATAGACTGGAGCTCAATACAGTGAATAATTGAAATATGTGCATGTTTAACACGTTAGAATGAGTCATCAGTCTTTATTCAGGCTAAGATCCTTAAAACCACAAACTAAATATTAAATATTTGCTTTATCAAGGTAGATTTTCAAAAAACTTGCAGTAAAAAAAATTTTTTTAATTGATGCAAGGTAGTTTGGGCCAATTCACCTGGATGTCTGAGGGCTAAGAAAAATTTGTCTGAGGGCCACATTTGGCCCCCGGGCCATAGTTTGGACATGCCTGATTTAGACAATAGAATGTGATTTTCAACATTAAACTGTAGTACTTTTTTTTTCTATTCCGATGGGACCTTGTATCTGTGTAACCTCTCAGTGGTCCAGGTAGTTTCCATAGTGGTCCAGGTCTAAATCAGGTCTAAATCAGGTCTAAATCAGGTCCAAACCAGGTCTAAACCAGGTCCAAACCAGGTCCAAACCAGGTCCAAACCAGGTCCATGTGCATACACTTATACTTGTTCTGCTTCAGCTCCAGATCGTTCTAAACACATTCAGGAAAGCTTCATTTCTGTCCTGTCAGCGGGACTTGTTTAATATCATTCTTTACCTGTTTAAATCCCTCGTGGTCTGTGTTGTGATCCGTGTTGTGGTCTGTGTTGTGGTGTTCAGGGTCGGTCCGGGTGCAGGTGGAGCCGGTGGGTCGCTGGTTCGAAGCCTTCGTCAAACGCAGGAACAGAAACCTCTCGGCCTCGTTTCAGGAGCTGGAGGAGGAGGAGGAGTCTTCAGAAGAATCAGATGACGAAGATTTCACGCTGCAGGAGTGTCCCATCCTCAGAACACTAGACCCCAAAGAGTGGAAGGTAAAACACGAACCGGAGGATTATTTTAGTCGGGATGTAACGAGAACTGAAATGTCATAATATCGTATCGTCATTTTCTTAAATTCATTGTTTTGGTGCAGTAATAGAAAAACAGAGGGAACTACATAGACCATGATCCTTTGCTCTGTTTCAGTGCGGACTACATGAAGAAATAAGGGTTATTAAGCACTTCTAAGGCTTGTCAGGGCTTTCTATTTTATATTTAGACTTCTGAAATACATTTAACCACATAAAGATTGAAAAAAAAAAAAAAGCACTTTTATGCAGAAAATGACATACGAAAAGTGTAGGTTCAAGTATATAAATAGTTTATTCTTTTGTGATGTTTTAATTCAATAATCTAATAATACGGCGGCGTGGTGGTGCAGAGTTTGGTGCTTGTGCCTCTCAGCAAGAAGGTGGCATGAAATGTTGCCCCGTCTCCAGTATTTAGCGTTTAGAAGTAACGTTTTTTTCTTTTTCTTCTGCAGAACCAGGATCACTATGCCGTCCTGGGCCTCCCTCACCTCAGATACAAAGCCACTCAGAAACAAATCAAAGCTGCACGTGAGTCTTTTGTTTTGCAGTAGTTTTAAATGTGGATTTTGTCCATGTAATTCCTTTTATATTCTTCGATATATCGAGTACTTTAATGATTCGAGGTTGTTCTTTTTCTTATTATCTTGTGTTTTTACAGATAAGGCCATAGTTCTGAAACACCATCCGGACAAAAGGAAAGCAGCAGG